TAAAATCATAGCATTTTGAAATTTCAGCTAAACACAGATAGGATTCAGGTGGACAGATATCAGATATCCTGAAGCATCCTTAGCAGAACTTCCTTCAAAACAGCCACTTGACATCAAATAATATCTGACAAAAACTTGGAATTTTAAAATTTTAGACAAGTATCTTACTGATTGTTTCCATGGCAATGGAATTTGTTGAGTGATTGATAAAGAGGAACCTTGAGAATGTTAGAATCAAATTATGTTTTATCAATGAAATTTGGTGGCCTTCAAAGATCAAAATAAGCATTGAAACTTATGTGAGGTAGATAAGACCATGTTTTTACAGTGTTGAGTTGATGATAAAACCTCGAAAATGAATCATTGGAACTGAAATAGTCCAAGAGAACCACAATACACAGAACACATTTGCCAATACCTGATGGAATTGAAACTTATACTCTCAGAATAAAGCTACTAAATTTAATATTTTACAAGTTTGAAAGGGATTGTAAAGAGGTTATTGTTTTTGAAATGTCAATTCTTCTTTTTTTTTTTGATTTTTCCACACCTTTTACAGCAAAGGCTGCAACAGCTACAGCAACATTTCTACATGTGTAGACCTTCTGTAGTAGCAACATAGTTGTTAAATATAATTTGGAACATTTTTGCAAAACTGAAAGAGGCAGAGATTTACATGTGCAAAAACTAAAAGCTTTAGCTTTAGTAACTTTTGGCTGAAAATCTCTGCAACAAATTTTCAAATTTTTAAACTGCTATCATATCAGATATAATATGTAGATTCCAAAAATTAAAACCCCAATAAAATTGAGCCAAAATGCGATTCCTAGAACCGATTTTCTAGTTTTTGTACATGTTAATATCTTGCAACTTTCGGTTTTGCAATTTTTGACCAAAAAAAGAAAGTTTTTTGCTTTTTGTCCAATTTATTTGAAATTTTCTATGCAGAGACAGATTACTAAAATAAACAATATGGTCAAACTGTTAACTTCACTTCCAGACTTTCACTTCAGATTGAACTACTTTCGATGTATTTAATATAGCGCAACAAAATGTATATTGATCGGTAGTCAAATTTATTACATAAGTAAGAATCTGGACCGAAAGAGATATTTTGGCCACCATATTGATATGACCTACTTTTTGTAAAACTCCAAATGGGGTCTCGGGTGTTTGAGTGTTTTTTTTTTTACAATATTTGTGTCTCTTTGAGCTTGATGAATGTATATCAAAGCTTGAAATTTGAAACACAATTTGACATTTTGGGTGTTGCACATCCGGGTTAAATTACATATTTTTACGTGGGCATAACTCTCATAGATTACATTTATTCAAAATATAACCTTTTTTACATCTCTTTGGCTAGTTTGTTGTTAAAAGCTCAAATGTTCAACTTTGTAATTCAAAAAAAGGTAAAGTGTTTAAAAGTTTCATATTTTCAATTTTTATCCTCGACTTTTGTTGACCTCGACCTTTGTAGGATCGAAGATCATTGACCTTAGTTATCTATTTGTACTTTCATATTTGATGTCGGACATCAACTTCTGGTATGTATATGGCACTGATAAAATCAATTTTCACTATTTCAATTTTCAATCAGATGTCATTCCACTAAAAATTAGTGTCTGATGAAGTAACTAATCGCAATTAGTGACATCATCAACCACTTAGTTTTAGTGAAATTGCAGATGTCTGATTAAATATTGGAATGGTGCAAGTTAATGCTATCAGTGTCCTCTTTACACATAAAAATTTCAGAAAACGTCTTGGCAAACTTTAGAATTCCAGACTTGCCACGATTCCAATTTTCAATCTGACGTCTGTGATTCCTAAGGCCCTTCACGATAAATGATGTCTTCATAGTTTTGGAATTGCAGAAACCACAGACGTCTGATTGAGAATTGGCGCAAATGGATGCTATCAGTGTCCCTGATAAATGACAAAAAAATTTAGAAAACAATTTTACAATCCCTTGATATAGTAAGTTGTTCAAAATATGCAGAAACTCGAACTGCATGTGACAATATTACAACACAAAACTACATTATTACTATATTTACTACTACAATGAACAACTATTGCTGAGTGACCTTTGGGGTGGCTTTAATTCATTATTAATGTTTTTATAATGCTACAATGCTGTCGTTTCACATTGGACATAGTATGATCCTTGATAGACAATTCTTTTTGAATAATGTTCATACTTTTGAAACTCCCATAATTACCGGTAGCCTTTACTCATGCAATATGTAAGAGCTAAAAGGAATGTATAACAAGTGTAAGATTGGTTACAACAGGTGTATTTTGGGTGGTGTTAACAGTTTATTGTAGTTCAACAGTTGACTTCTAGTTTAAAATTTGAATATTTAAAACTAATTTGATGTCAGACTACAATTATTTTATCAACTGTATGTACATGTGCATTGAAAATCAAAGGTTGAAAATATATATATTCTAATTTGATTTGACATGGAGATCTGAGAAATGATCAGAATGTAAATTATCTACTATTGATATTACTTTTAAGGATTTGACTTCACATTGTCCAGATGTCCAAAGAAATGTAAAATATATTTTAACCTATGGCAACTGTATGAGGTTGCCTAGTCCTTTTAGTTTCAGTTGGCAACCAGATCTGAACCAGAACTAGGTTGCTCACCTGAACAGATATGCCTCAGATCTAACAACCCTATTTTCACCCTGGAGCAGAGATGTAGCTTTAATAGGATTGTAGTAAAAACAACAGAATAGTAACATTCTTTCAGTGGCATGTTAGCTTGAAATACAACAACATAAATATTATATCCATTCTTGAGATTTCTGCTTTCTAGTGTGATTTGTACAAACAAATCATTAAGATATTTAAGTATAAAACAACATCATTACATCTGGATTTCACATTCAGAAAAAAATTTCTCCCTTGAACTGAAAATGAAAATTAGGAATGTATTTTTGACTTGTATATTAACATGTCCTTTCATTAACTCATTGCATTATAACATTTTCGTTTTGTCTCATAATTTTAGTTCTTGTGGAAACACTTTAATACCAGGCTGCTATCAAGTGTACCGTTCTCTATCTGGACCAAGCTGCAATATAGTGTGACCTTTTACATTACAGTTAACTCAGGTGGTCTGAGAACGATATTTTCGACACGCTTATCTGTGGAACTCTTCTCAAAGAAGTTGCATTTTAGTCCTTGAAGTCACTGGGATGCAAACAGCAATAGCACTGAATAATGATGCAATTCTGCGGGGAAAGGTGAAGATCGCTAACTGGGCATGCGCAGTGAAGCGTTCTCAGACCACATGGAGACTCTTAACTCTATTGAGTCCATTCTCTAAACCAATCCGAGACCACTTCCTTGAGGTAGACCAGAATTGGAGCCGTTCTCAGACAGCATTTCACAAAATTCATCCATTCAGTCTTCTTTGATTTGGACAATGGAATAGTTTTGTAATGTAAAAGGGTTTATTTCTCAAATGACAAATAAAGCGATCGGGGATCATTTCTCAATTAGGAATTTATACAAGTAGGACATGTATTAATTTCATTGCTTTCCTTGTTTCAGGCTAAACTTCCACTTTTCATTAGGATTATAATACCAATGTTGATAATATCAACGTAGGTTTCTACTGCTCCCTGTTTGCTCCTTAAAGGTGTCTTTCTTATTTTTTGGGAGTTCACAACTTTATTTACTATACCCTGATTTCTTTTATTGTCATCTTATGTTGATTTTTTTCTCTTTGCAGCAAGACAGAGGACGAACGAGAACATCTGAGAGAGGGGATGTACCTTTAGGACCGTTATGTGGAGTAAATTGTCAAAATAGACAGGGGGGTGGATGTAAATGTATAGGAGAAAAAGGATCACGGGTAAGTACTTTGATTCTATATTTATAGTCAGAGAGCTGATGCATTATGGTCACATTTAGGAACATTTGCAAGTTGAAACACGACTCTAGAATGCTTTACTAAAATGACCAAATATATACTTTGATGCATACAATTGTTTGTTTACATTTGCCAGTGTTTTTCATCAAAGTCTTATACATCCTTTCATTATTTTGAAGTATAAGTTGCCAGAATTATTGCCCTTGACCTGGATTATTGAAATTGCCACAGCAAAAAATTAAGATCCAATTGATTTTCATAATAAGACAGGTTCATCCCTAACTGGGGTTTCAGATGATGACACTGGTTCAGTGTGGATGTGATCCACAATCTTTGAAGATGTCTTAATATATACAAATATATCAATTATATCATCATGCTGGTTCACAATATACAGATTTCATGTCACCAATGTCTTCAGCCTATTCTCATTCTATTACGAACTCCATACTTAAACCTTGACTGAAATAGCAACTATCTTTGTATCACAGATGCAGCCATTTGATTGGATTGTATGCCAGTGAATACAGTTAATCACAGGCCATGACAGGAAGACTGTAAATATTATGGCTCATTGTTAACAACCTTTCTGTTAAGAACTCTGATCGGCTGTATTTGCTAACATACATTCCTAACTAAATTGCTGCATGGTATAAGAGGTAAGACTGTTCATAATAGCTTAACATTGTGAAGAGATGTATATGTTAACATTGCTAAGTTATCTTATCAACTGAAACAAAAATAAACATTTTGTGAGTTACTGGCCTCAGATATTTGATATATAAACTTGTTTGCTTCAACTATGTACAAAAAATTCCAGAAAGATGCACTATTGGCCTATTTCAAAAATTTGGTTTATGATTTTCCTAATTATTTACATCAATAAATTTTTGAAAAGATTCTTTTTGCTATTGATGAGTTGATGCACACTTTTTCTCTGATCATAACATAAGTTACATAACTAACAACTCTCTGAACTTTGAAAACTTCAAAGTATCTGATACCAAAACTTATCAGTATTGAAAAAACAAAACAATTCCAGTAACCATTCAAGTATAACTGGAGAACAAATTTGTTTCTTTATCTATGCAATATAAATTTCTGCCAATGTGCAAAAGGCGGTTTTGTGAGTTTTTTTTTCTTTATTTACAGGGTAGTTTTGGACCAGTTGGACCCCCTGGTCCTCCTGGTAAACAAGGATTTCAAGGACCAGAAGGATTATTAGGACCTAAAGGTGTTTCTGGTGAACCTGGACCTGTTGGTGGTCGTGGTGAAAAAGGAGCTCGGGTAAGACAGTTTATGAGATTTTCAACAACGAATATAAATGTGCTTGCTCAGTGAGAAAATACATTTAAATTCAAAACATTATCTTGATATATTCAACACAAGCTATTAACCTAAATATTTTTCCTTGATTACATCTCTAAATTGTCAGTTTGAGAAATGTTGAATAATGAAATGTTTCTATTCCGAGTAAAACCACGAATATACGAGGTATGGTGTCTGGTGTGAAATGATCAATACAAACAATAATAGAACAAGTGAACACACACGTTACGGATCTGGACATGGTACGGACACGATTTGTTTCATCTATTTTCTACTGTATCAATTATCCTGCACCATACACCGCACTGGACAACATACCTCATCTTAAGAATAACATAAGAATAACATGGCACCTTAAGAATATTTTGTCAATTTTGGACATTGATTCTTGAAGGATATTAGTCTGCAATTTTTAGCATAAATATTAATATTCTTACCAAAATTATATATATACGTTTTTTTTATACCGAAATTCTAAATGAACCATTTTTCAAAATGTGATGTCAGTAATTATGGTCTTCTTCTTAATTTTGCATCAGTCAAAACAATCAGTTACCCATTTAGTGATTTCATTAGACTTCTCTTATCAAATACAATTGTACAAGAAATTTAGCATATTTGTGTGCCACCATTACACCCAAAGTCTGTTGAACTTGCAGGAAGATGTTCTCTTTCATGTGTTGATATTAGTCTAACCTACTGGCTTGACATGATCAACATGTTCCTTCTTGTTAACAGTTGAGTAATCAAACAAACAACCAATCTAGACCACACCTATACACCATATCTAGATCAGTAAGGTGTCTGCTATAGCTGTAACCTTATCCTGACATGATTTATCCAGGAATATATATATTGCAAATTGCTGCGGTGGCTCTGTGAGCCCAATCCCGGCATATGATAAGATGAAACTTTTAGATTTTTCTGTGTCCATGATGCAGTTTGAAGGGGCTGACATGGAAAAAGCGTCTAGTTGATGGGATAATAAACCAAGGCCCTATGTGTTAAGACTGTGCATGTTAAAGATCCCTTGACTGTTGAAAAAAATTTAAGCTGTACTGGCAAAATTTCCCTCATTGCACACTACATGACATTGCCTATCTTCACTTCCCATTAGGTAAAGAATGTAAAACTCCATTCATTTCAAGGCCAAGATGGACCAGAAGTTTGTTAACCTTTGACTCAAGTAATCTAGAACCCCCTGCAGTCTAATAAGATAGAACTACATTTATTTAGTTTTTCTTATCAGTAGGTCTAGAATAACAGTAGTGTTAAAAATTTGTGGTTCCCTCCGTATGTTGTTAGGCCACTACAAATGATTCAAATAAAACTCTTTCGTGACAACTACAAATGATTCAAATAAAACTCTTTCGTGACAACTACAAATGATTCAAATAAAACTCTTTCGTAAGAAGATTCCACCACAAATGAACATCAGAATAATCTTTGAAGGAAAGAAATATATGTGTATTTGGGACTTAATTCGCACCAATCTGATTCTTGTCCAATGTCCTGTTCAATGACCGTAAATGGCATGACTATCATAACAACCAATAAAGCTTGAAAGGCTCTTTTGAATGTCCTTAAACTTACTCTTGAATGTCACTTTTGAATCTCCCTACACATACTTTTGAGTCTCATTAAACTTACTCTTGAATCTCTTTAAACTTACTCTTGAATCTCACTTTTGAATCTCCCTACACTTACTTTTGAGTCTCATTAAACTTACTCTTGAATCTCCTTAAACTTACTCTTGAATCTCCTTAAACTTACTTTTGAATCTCATTAAACTTACTCTTGAATCTCCCTAAACTTACTCTTGAATCTCACTTTTGAATCTCCCTACACTTACATTTGAGTCTCATTAAACTTACTCTTGAATCTCCTTAAAATTAATCTTGAATCTCCCTACACTTACTTTTGTGTCTCCTTACACTTTCTTTGAATATCCTTAAACTTACGCTTGAATCTCACTTTTGAATCTCCCTACATTTACTTTTGAATCTCCTTAAACTTACTCTTGAATCTCCTTAAACTTACTCTTGAATCTCCCTACACTTACTTTTGTGCCTCCTTACACTTTCTTTGAATATCCTTAAACTTACTCTTGAATCTCACATTTGAATCTCCTTACTTTTGAGTCTCATTAAACTTACTCTTGAATCTCCTTAAACTTAAACATATTGTATTTAAAGCTGTAATATACCAGAATATTCCTAATTCTAATAATTTCTGTAAAATTTGAAAGACCATAAAAAGTAGTGAAATTAGTTAAGGGTGTTGTGAATCAAAGAGTGAATCAACCTAAATGGACCATAGTACCACACTATCAGGTTACTGTCAAAACAGCTGGAGATCTCATTTTATCTAATGGCAAAGCTCCAAATTACCTGAACCTAGCTATTTTTACTCCCTCTTGTCCTAATTCATGTATGATTCATATAACAAGCAAAATTTCAAAAAAATAAAACTCTAATCAATTAGTAAGTATTATTTTGAAATGGCAGATAAAGGGGAACTCTGTGTTAATATATAATCCAAGTATATTTTTTTCCCTCAAGATGTTTTTTTAAAATAATGTTGTACATGATTTTACATTTTTGAAAGAAACCACCCTATATATCAATTTGTTTTTTTGATCTTAAAGCCAATGACTGTGCTGTAAAATTTTAAATGAATATAAACTACAAAAAACACACAATATTAAAGAAAGATAACAAAGAAGACAGAGAGGTTCCAATTAGCACTTGCCTTGTTGTCAGTGGCTATCAAAATTTCTACCCTAAACCCTGAAATAATTGCCCAGATGGTGACCAAAAATGGTTATTTAATTTTCTACTTTTGCTATTGTAATCAAAATGTTACAATAGCCTGACTTTTACTCACAGACCCTGAAAATACTGTATTTCAAATTGTCATTTTTCAGCAATGAGTGAAGCTGTAATTGACAAATTGCCAGTTAGTAGCATTAAGAATTCACCCCTCGGTCCTCTGTTTTGGCTTAGCTATGCAAACAGGCTTCTGATATACTTCTGTTCTAATTTCAGGGAAAGATGGGATCTCCTGGATTCCCTGGTATTAATGGCATCCCTGTAAGTTTCATACCTTTTCTTATCTGAGTATATATACTAATTTTTTATCATTAAATTTGATTTTCAAATTTTATTGCAAATGATACTTCAAATGCTAAATGTAAATCTTGTTTGCAGTCTGCAAAGTTGAAATGTATTGATTGTATGGGCTTGTTTTCGTGAATTTATTTACAATGAAGTCTTTTGAAAAAAAGAATCCACAAATTTACCATGAGAATACATTTGTTGACAAATTTAAAACATTTGGATTCACAAAAAAACAGTGACTTTTACTAAGTAAAGTAAAAATGCTATATTTATTTTAGGGTATTCCTGGCCCAGCTGGACCACGTGGTATGAATGGTTTAGATGGCTGCAATGGTACACAGGTAAGGTTATCAGAGTATGCGACTGTTATGCTAAAATTTACCTCATTATATACTGCTTGACTACACTGCAAATTAAGTCAAAGATATTCTATTTGATTTTTTAGTCGTTAACTATAGGTTAACAATGAAAATTGGAAATTTGGGGCTTACATCTTCCAAATTTGATCTGTTTCTGGCTTATAATAGAAACATATTATTTATAATTTAGTATTTATGTAAGTGGCCATACTGAAGTTAAGAATAACTGTGGTGCCAGGAAGTTGGCAGTAAATTTCAACCATGCAGCACATTATGAGTATAAATTGACCTCTATACACAGGAAGTCAATTCCAAATAGAAAAACATGAAAGCTGTTAAATATGGCTGGAATCATTTAGCATACTTGAGACAGTTTAGTTTCATTTCCAGTGAATTTAGGAAAATGACCCCTGTGACCTTTGGCAGCAATAAATGCCTGCTGCAAGTAAAGGAATTTCAATCAGTTTTATGTGTCTGACCCTCAATGTTTTATGAGGTGTTACTTACTGTTGCTGTACCCTGTAGACTGCCTTCTTAGTTGCCATTTTCTTGTCTGACTCTTATCTTTATGAGGTCATCTCACCTCAGTGAGACAACCATATTGCTTTATGCTTAGAATACAATTGGTAGAGTCAATTTGATATTTCTCCAAATTTTTCAAAGCATCAAAAGATAAATGAATATAGGAAAATTAAAGATAGATCGACATATTTAAAAAAATAACCACATTTTGGACAATTTTGGCTAGTTAGTTTCAATACATTTTCTGCAATGTGCAAGACTGGAGGCACAAATACGGTCAGATTGACTTGATAAGGGAACAAATGTCGAGGTTGATTCCACAATATGGCAGCTCTGTGGAAGCAGACCATGTAGTTGAAGAGGGTTCTCCCCAATGAAAATTTATGAAAAAATTGAATTGATTTGGTGCATTCAGACATACATGAAAATCATATTGTTGAATTTGTCTCAAACTGGCAATAGATAACGGACAAAAATTTAATTTGTCCAAATTGGGTAAAAGTAAGTTTAAGAAGTGAAGTGGACAGCCTGTGGATGACTAAGATTATTATGTTGTATAATTTGGTAAATTGATGAAAGTTTAACCTCCTGACTAACATAAATAAACTTTAAGCTTCTTTCACTCTTGACTTTCTTGAAGTTTGATTGAAACCACATTGAGATTTTGATCTTCAAGTCTTTAAGAACTCTTTAACATATTTTCATGAGAAATAAGATTTTTATTAGGCTATGTGTGAAGTAACAGAGACTATTGAAATGAAATTTAAAGGAGGTATTGCTTCATATTTTGTTTTTAGAGCACGAAAAAGTCCAAAAAAGATTGATTTTATATAATAAAATGGATAAAACTCAATGATATATAACATTTATAGCAAAACCCATCAAAAAACTGATTTCATATGCCTTGAGTTTACCTTTGTAAATTTGTTTTCCTGCCTTTATCTTTCAGACTCTAATTTCTGTCATATAGTTCTGATTAATTTAGGTTTTAATCTGCTAACAGGATTCCATTTCTGGAAGGAATGACTTTGAGCTAACAAATTCTTACTTTAAAAACATGTACCTTGTATTTATTTAGGGTGAACCTGGTTTCCCTGGTAATTCTGGTCTACCTGGTTTGGAAGGTTCCCCTGGTATTTCTGGTCCCAAGGGTCAAAAAGGTGAACCTGCTCGAGATGGTATTGCAATTAAAGGACAAAAAGTAAGTAAATTTAGTTTGGTAACCATCTTTATTAACCTTAGTCAATGGTAACAAATATAACCTTGTAAGAACTTGTATTAGTCAATAGTAACAAATATAATCATGTAGTAACCTACATTAGTCAATGGTAACTAATATAATCATGTAGTTGTTGATGGTAACATACATCGTTCATTGATCAGCATAATAATCCTGGACTAACCAATGTGTCAATGTGTTAAATCCACCATTGAAGGGACAGATTTGCCAGTTTTGTTGGTTGATTTGGGTTGCAACTATATGTAAATTGTCCTCAGGGATTTTAGAATGAATGAAATTGCAAAATTCCTTCAAAAATACCTCATTAGGAAGTTCTCCTTCTATTTTTATAGATGTCTTTTTAAGTTTTAACTTATCTTAAGTGGATTAGAAATTTCTGTTTCTCAGACTAAGATAAAGTTTGTCACTTTAAGATGACTGATATTACTTGACAATCAATGAAACAAATTAACCTATATTTTTAGGGTGATCCTGGTGCTAATGGTTTATCTGGAATACCTGTAAGTATTATATAATAGTGTTTTTTAACAAAGAAATAACAATGATTTTTTGTGATTTCTGTCTTGAAATTTGAGAGGCAAAGTATTGCATAAACTGTCTTTCAGTTATCAACATAAGGCCTAAGACTCGAACATAAACTGAAGATTCCTTATAATAATGCTGCCTCATGTTCTTGTTCTAAGATTTCTTCAATTGTTCATATTTTTACAACTTTTATTTGTCAATTTGTAGTTCAAATGGGAGTAGTATTTCTTTAAGAAAATTTATTTTTTAACATTATATTTGTATCTTGTATAGGGTAGCCCTGGTATTGATGGTCCTATTGGTCCACAGGGTTTAAAAGGTGATATTGGTCCCCAGGTAAGATATGATTTTGAAAAATTTAGAATTTCTGAGCCAAAAGGAATTTAATGAAAAATATATACTTGTAAACTCTGTTATTATGTATCTTAATTGAATTTCCACTCACTGTGAAAATAGAATATGTATTGTTTATTGTGTTTTCCTCTTCAATGTATAAGTCCACCATTATTTTTGGGCAAAAAGAATGGTATGTTAATTTACTTTCAATGTAATACTTTTAATGTAGTTCTTTGAATTGTATTAATGAATTTGTCCAAAAATATCTGCTGGTATTTTCCTGATATCATTTAGTTCTTTCCTGATATCTTCTGGTATTTCCACTTAGAAATATGAGTTCTGGTAAATAAACTGTGATAAACTTTATTCTAGGGTCCTCCTGGATTCCGAGGTGAGGTCGGAGAAAAAGGTAATATGGGTGTTGGATTTACTGGACAAAAAGGTGATCTTGGTGACAAAGGTCCCCCTGGTCCACCTGGTCCCCCTGGAGTTAACCCATTTGTACAACCACCTGGAACATTAACTGGTCCTAAAGGAGACCGTGGTATGAAGGGAATGAAGGTAAGCTTTGTTTTGACTATTTTCTGATGGCCTAAAAGGCACTCATACACTGCAAAGGCTAAAACATCTGTCTCTATTCCAGCCTCTGATCGCTATCTGGAGAAATGTGGGCTGGTGTAGAGACAGAAAAAAATAGGCCCTATTAAATGGGAAGATTCCGCATCTCTGAAAGTGCAGGTTTTTAAACTTATTTAGATCCCTTGCATCTACAAACCCCAGACATATTTGGAAAGATGAATATTTTGTAGTTCAGTCTTACCATCATTTTGTCCCTACACCATTTATGTCACGTCTCCTGTTCTATCAAAGTGTTTTTTTACAAAACTGATCTAGCATCAGCCATTTAAAACTGCATGCCCAGCCAAAAGTTCAAAGGTTACAGAGTCACGTGATACTAACAAAACAAAAGTTCCAGTGATGCCTAACACTAATTTATAATCATCTTAATTAATATAATGTTAGAAAAAAAGGCAATTTCGTTAGGTGTAGAATGTCTTTTTAACAGGATCATTTTTTCGCACTCTACTCCAGCTGACAACTGTCAAAATATCAATCAGAAGCGGGAATAGAGGAAGATGTTTCATAAAAATACTTGTTTGATCATGTATGAATTAGAAGAGAAAGATTTCTAAAGCACTATAAAAGATTTTAATACATTTTTGTAGGGTGAACCTGGTACTTCTGGTCCCTCTGGTTATGATGGTCCTCCTGGATTACAGGTAAGCATTTCATTCAGCTTATGAGATATATTGCCTAGTAAGCTTAACATGCTTGTTAACATGGTGGTTACATTATCAAAATAGAAAATGTCATACAGTTTTGATTCTATGCCAGAAAAATTAAAGAAATAGTCAAAGGTATTAACGGTAAATGAGCCAGTTTAATATTTACCACCAAGATAATGTCATCATATTTAACTTGTTTTATGATGTCATCAATCCACTTTGGAGCCAGGAATAGAAAAATATTAAAAGATCATCAAGACATAGCAATCATTTAAAGAACCAAGAGGAAGGAAATGTCCTTATAAATGTTTCTAACTATCAGTGTAGAGTGCATGCCATATGGTTTCTATTTAAAGTCTATTCAGAATGGTGAACAGTATATTTTATATAACATTATAACTGCAGTAAGAGTTGAAACTTATTTTAAAATTGTATGTTTTGTTTACAATTCCAATATGTTTTAGAGCTGTTGCTGTTATGCATTCTTAATTTGCCATGTTTACACAAGCAAGAAAATACTAGACTGTAGCCCAATTCAAAATAAAATAAGAGGGTCTTGGTGGATTTGAAATACATAAATAAAAGAAATACCAAGTTTGGTCATCATGAGGCATTTGCTGTCAATGAAATATTCACAAAATAGTGCATTTCATGTTGAAAATTTACATGGAATACAACAGCATAAATCTTATTTTGAGCTCAATTACATGACACAATGCATCCTTGGCCATTTTCGCCTCTAAAATAGAAGATGTTAGAAAAAGATTCAACCCTTTTTCAATATGGTAATATATCAGTCTTAATCAACTTCCCACCATGTATCCTCTTATCAGTCAAATGGTTATCAAAGATAAATTGTGGAATTCACTGTTGTAGCATATTCTTAAGATTCCTATCTAACTTTATTATTAAAAAATAGCTACTTAAATATATGTTAATGATTTAACATTTACTCCCATGTGCCAATGGCAGTGTACATAATACACACAAATGGGATGAAAAGCAAATCTACAATATAATTTTGGTTTTGGGCCACTGGTTTTACCTCAGGCTAGTGAAAACAAATCTCCTGAACACTGTCCTGATATTCTTGTAACATTAAGAACATTGGAAATTTAACGAACAAAATACCTGATTTAACTATTTATTAGTCAAGTACCTGTCAAATGTCATTTAGGTATTCCATTGAAAAATGACCTAGAATTATGAAATATCAAAATAAAATTCTATGAATGTGTTAACCAGCAATTGAAATTCTGGAAAATTGTACGTGTAAGAATTACAGGATATATTATATTGTTTTAAATAGGAAGTTTGTCAGAGGTTTGGAATGAGGTCAATGAATCAGAAACTAGGTCAATAGCCTATGGTCATTGGCCTAGTGAGAGGATTTTTTATGTTTAACAGTTAATTTAACATATAAATTCCTAAGTCACCTTTCTTATAAAATAACATTGGTATATATATATATATTGGTATATTTAACATAAATAAAAGACCAATGTATGTTCTTAAAGATATGTGAAAAGTTGATAAGTGGTGCCATAGAAAGAAATAAATATTTTAAAACTTGGGAATGACATTTGATCAATACAAAACCAACTGGTGCTGATGATTATAAAATTTTGAGATAAAAGCAACTGATTTTATAAAGAGTTTGACATCAGGCATACAAGTTAATGTGAATTTGTTTTATATACCTGTATGTTAGTTTTACAAAAGATATAAATGATATGCGTAAATGATATTTGTTGTTTATAAAAGATATAAATGATATGTATTGTTTTTAAAAGATATAAATGATATGTGTTGTTTATAAAAAATATAAATGATATGTGTTGTTTATAAAAGATATAAATGATATGTATTGTTTTTAAAAGATATAAATGATATTTGTTGTTTATAAAAGATAAAAATGATATGTGTTGTTCATAAAAGATATAAATGATATTTGTAGTTTATAAAAGATATAAATGATATGTGTTGTTTATAAAAGATATAAATGATATGTGTTGTTTATAAAAGATAAAAATGATATGTGTTGTTTATAAAAGATATAAATGATATTTGTAGTTTATAAAAGATATAAATGATATGTGCTGTTTAGTAATAGTTTTGTGTTGTTTATGAAAGATATAAATGATACAAGTAGTGATATAAATGATCAGTGTTATCTATATTATAAGTTTGATTGTGTTATTGTAGGGATTGCCTGGTCCAGTAGGTATGAAAGGTGAAAAGGGTGTTCCCGGTATTGCTGGTCCTCGAGTAAGTATATATCTCTCCATGTATTGATTACCGGTACACAGTTTCCATGAGTAAAGCAGACATAATTGAAATATTTAGATTGGATAAGACTTTCAAAATTAAGGAGCTATGAACAATATTCTGCTATACTGGGCCAAAAATTAGAACCTCATCCTCAGAGACAGACACACATGAAATGTCAGTTGAGATTCAATGATGTCACTTTCCTTGTCACTTTCCTTGGTAGTTGCAACAAACAATTTTTAGCTTCTAAACACTTTAGAAGGCACAATTCTTGACAGATTTTGACAAAAATTGGTGTGAGTGTTTATCACCCAAGGATAAACCCTATTGAAAATCAGAAGAATCATAAAAAATTTAGTATGAGTTATTGCCCTTGTTCTTGAAAACGCATTCAATTTTTAGCTCGTAAATACTAAAAGGCATCATTCTTGACATATTTTGATAAAACTTGGTAATATTATACAGTATCGACCCAGAAAGTTCAAAAGAAGTGTATGACTGAAGGTTGAATATTTCATACTGGTGATTGTTACTGTACTTCCAAATATTTTTAGTGAAAATCAAAGCTACAAGTGGGCGTATATTACCTTGCCTGGGAAGCTATCTTTTAGCCTGATGTATTCCATTTTACCCCTTCAAAAAGATATACCCAAAAATTTAGTCTTTTCTACACTGTTGGTTTTTCAAGTCTTTTATGTATTTAGATATATGTCCTTCCAACACATGGAGAGCGATTATAGAATTTGGAGATAGCTGAAATGATTATATTGATTGATTGTATTTTTCTAGGGTAAACAAGGTTTCCCAGGTTTGCCTGGTTTACCTGGTTCCAAGGGTGATACTGGTATGGATGGTGTTCCTGGTTTATCTGGATTGTTTGGTATGAAAGGAGATCGTGGTTTACCTGGTTTAGATGGTTTACCTGGTGTCAGAGGTCCACCTGGACCTGCTGGTGTAAGTTATTTTCTGTCTCTGAGTATATTCATCTGGGAGATTGAGATTAATTGAGATTAATTTGCATGCATATCCTAGAGAAATTTGGGTATTTGATCCATTGGATTGTCTGATATTTATAGAAGATGAACATATATTAAAGGCATTTTAAAAATTGCCCTCATTGCACACCATTTTAACATAATTTTGAAATGTTTTATAGGGTAAAGGAGGAGATGGACCCCCTGGTCCTGCTGGTTTACCTGGATTACCCGGTAGAGATGGTTTCCCTGGTAGTGATGGTCTTCCTGGTCCTCAAGGTCCTAGAGGTCCTCCTGGTATTCCTGGAGGTCCTGGATTACCTGGTCCAGCTGGACGGCAAGGGTTAGATGGTCCTAAGGGTCAAAAGGGAGAGTACGGTCCACCTGGTAAGATTAAAACCTTAAACATTGTTTGTGCGCATTTCCATTGAAGAGAAAATTTTTGACAATTATCTTCTTACTATTAAGATTTTATAAAATACATGGATTTGTCTTTTATTCAAGGTATCAGTGGTATAGATGGAAGACCTGGAAACTCAGGACGTCCTGGAGTCAAAGGAGATCGTGGTCCTAAAGGAGAAGCTGGTTTGTCGATTCCTGGACAAAGAGGTCCTGCAGGACGACCTGGCTTAGATGGATTGCCTGGTATTAAGGGAGAAAGTGGTTTGAATGGTTTACCTGGTCCACCTGGAAATTCCTCTAAAGGCTTGCCAGGTCCTTCTGGTCTGAAAGGTGAACCTGGTCAAAGAGGGTTTGAAGGTCGACCTGGAAGAGATGGGACCCCAGGTTTCCCTGGTGACAAAGGTTCGTTATATATTATGTTTGATGCTTGACACATTTATTATTGAACACTATTACTACAACTTTATTAATGTATTAAGTATGTTGAATTCTGCAAATATTGACAAATCTTGTATCCTGATATTTAATTCATTTTGTATTTTTAGTAGTATAACATGATGTAGCCATCAAAATATATCTTATTTAGTTTATTGAACAGGAGTTAATTCCACATTTTCTTTTTCTATAAGGATTCAATATACAGTACATGTAAACCCAAATGCTACATGAGAAAGATACAGAAATGAATTATATCATTTATCTATTTAGGTGATAGAGGAGGATCCTGTGAATCCTGTAGACCTGGTACTAAAGGAGAGAAAGGTTCAAGTGGCTTGGATGGTTTACCTGGTTTACCAGGACAGAGAGGTTTAGACGGTCCTGAAGGTGCTAAGGGAGAACCTGGAGAGGACGGTCCAACTGGTTTGCCTGGTTTACCTGGTCCATCTGTAAGTATGAACTTTCCTTATTACTTTATTTTGTACAGAATTTCATGCTCCATGCACTCAACAGAGTAGCATACAAATATGTATCTTAAATATACTGAAGAGAATTGCTGTGAAACGTGGCATTTGAGTCCAGCAATGTAAAGTGAAAAAGTATATAACACATTTGCCAAATTCAGAGACATAACAACCAATTAACTAGGGACAAGGTAAAACCATCAAATGACAGAACACAACCATCAAATGGCAGGACACAACCATCACATGGCAGGACACAACCGTCAAGTAGCATCAAATGGCAGGACACAACCGTCAAATTGCAGGACACAACCGCCTTCAAATGATTAAAATCTGTGAGAACTTTTACAACTGTTACAATACTCTGATATTCCATGTATCTGTAGTAATCTGTATGATTGTATTTAATATAGGGAGAATCTGGTCTGCCTGGTTTATCTGGAGACAAAGGTCAGAAGGGAGAATCTGCTACCGCTGAAGTATTACCTGGTCCTCCTGGTAGGTATTACTGTAATACAAAAATAATGATTCAGTGGAGAACACTATTGCTGGGTGTTTTCACATTTAAACTCTTTTCAAATTATTAACAAACAGTTAAAGTTACCTATGCCTATTTTTCTCGTTCAAATCATGCTTATTGTTTGAATAATTAATGTTTCTAATGAATAAATCAAGTATTCTTGAGTGCTAAGATTGTGTAAGGATGTAGAAAAGCTTGGGGATCAAGTTTACTGAAAAAGCTAAAAATCGATACATCCAAATCTTCTTCAGGTTTGAAGGGTGATAGAGGAGACAGTGGATTGACTGGTGAAGGTGGAAGAAGAGGCCCAGCAGGTCCACAAGGTCCATCTGGTGCTCCTGGATTACCTGGTATTAAGGGAGAATCTGTAAGGATACAATTTTTTATACACCCACATTATAATGTTGTATATTGTAATCCGTCTGTCGCACCTTGTTAACACAATAGAGATGAAATTTGGTGTAAACATTTATATTGATGAGATCTTAGTTAAGTTCAAATTGACGATTTTTTGGTAAATGTTTTTTGAGTTATTGCCCTTGACCTAAAAACATGTCAAAATTTTCATCTGATTCAAATGAAATTTGGTATGATCAATGAGATCTTGGTAAATGTTTTTTGAGTTATTGCCCTTGACTTGGTAAAAGCATGTCAATATTTGTTTTCACCTGATTTAAATGAAATTTGATGTGATTATATATGACAATGAGATCTTGGTAAATGTTTTTTGAGTTATTGCCCTTGACTTGGTAAAAGCATGTCAATATTTGTTTTCACCTGATTTAAATGAAATTTGATGTGATTATATATGACAATGAGATCATGGTAAACGTTTTTTGAGTATACGATTTGACACTTGATATAACCCAAAATTTATCAGGGAAGTGGACGTAAATTTTAAGAAACCATGTTATCTGATTTTACTGACCAATCAAATCACATAACTTAACTCTAAAATCATCCTTAGATACTTTTTTGTGAAACATGGACTATCATTATGACCTGGATAATATTTTAGACTTGTTTTAGACATGATGTTCATTTTAGGGAGTTAAAGGTGTGTCTGGTTTGGATGGCTTACCAGGTCTTCCTGGTGAGCCTGGTATTCCTGGTTTAAGAGGTGATCCTGGAGTGGGAATTCCTGGTCAAACAGGAGAACGTGGAGATCCTGGTATGCCTGGATTACCTGGTTTACAAGGTTTACCTGGAATGAAGGGAGAAGCTGGTGAGTCATTTCATTCTGTTGTCTTTTATGTAATTCATTTTTTGGAAGAGGAGTATGAAGGTGCTTGTTGAATTTGTTTTGGAGATTTATTTAAGTTTGAAATATTTAAATACTCTCATTTTCAAAACAAATTCATGACATGTCATGACTTAAAGTAATTTAAGCAAGAATAATATTTATATTATAATCTGCTCTCAATTTAAAACTTGTTATTTTTTATTTTAGGTGATGTACCAATTGATTTGACCAAATTGAAGGGTGAACGAGGAGATCCTGGTCCAGCTGGTATTCCTGGTCGACCTGGTTCAAGTGGTTTACCTGGTCTTGATGGTCCTAAAGGTATGTATGGCAGCTTCTGCTGGATCTCATGAAAATTGTGTGTCTTGTCTTCTGAACTTGATATTGTCTGTTTTTAAGTCAGGGTCACCCAGCTTTGACTTAACTATTAAACACTGTATCCCATCATTTTTATACACCCACATGAAATGTATATTGCCAACACCAATTTCCGTCCGGCGGTCCGTCCATCCACAATTGCTTGTAAACAATCGTAAGACACCCTATTGAAAATCAGAAAAATTCAAAAATATTAAGTGTATTGCCCTTGCTCTCAAAATGCTTGTAAACACTCTTGACGGATTTTGATGGAACTTGGTGTGAATGTTTGTTATCACCCAAGGATGATCCTCATTGAAAATCTGAAAAATTGAAAATAATTAGAATTGCCTGGCAACATATTTTTGGATGTAACGTTTGTTTTCATGAAAGGCGACTGTTTATATGAACCTTGAAATCCCTGAAAAGTATCAAATAACACAAAAAGCCCAAATTCTTACCAAGATCACACCAGATAGATATTTAATGTTTAATATAATTTCTTCATTCAGGAAACCCTGGTCGAGATGGCTTACCTGGTTTACCCGGCATGAAAGGTGGACCTGGAGAGAATGGTTTACCTGGAACACCAGGACCTAGAGGGTTACCTGGAGAGAGAGGAAATGATGGTTTACCTGGTTTACCTGGACAAGATGGTTTAACTGGTATCAAGGGAGATAGTGGGTTACCTGGATTACCTGGTTTACCTGGTTTGTATTGCATTTTAAACTACTTAACACCCTTAAGTTTGTGGTAGAAACTTCTTCAGTGTAAGCATTAGTAAATTTAACAACTTTTGAAGAGAAATATAATTTTTTTTTTTTTATGAAAAGAGACTTTTATCTCATCAAAAATATATAATTTTCATAACAATGAATTAATGTCTATTTGAACTATTCAGGAGCTAAAGGAGAATCTGGTATCCCTGGAGAAGCTTTAGTTGGACCGAAAGGACAGTCTGGCCTACCTGGTTTCCCTGGTGAGCGAGGATTACCTGGTCTTCCTGGACCTGAAGGTATGAGTTGCTTTGTTTTCGTTCTGGCTATTTTTTTTATTTTTTTATTTTTTTATTTTTTCTTCACTCCGGGAGCTCAGTTCTCAGAAACAGCAACAGGTATGAAAAAACTAATTTCGTCGCACTTTCAAACTCGTGGCTAACTGTGTACTGAATGTAAAACAAAAATTTTCTGAGCAACATGAAGCGACGTTAACAACAAACAGAAAGTGGGCTCTAGTGGGCGTATTTATCGACCGAATTTGCTCGGGTTTCCTTTATTCTACTTCTTATAACAACGGACACATGATGGCAGTTGAAAAAATTTGATTTTTGCAAATTAGTTCGATACTTTTTTTTGTCGAAATTAATCGAAATATGCTATTTCGGTTGCTATTTGTCGGACCGATTTGAAACTTATAAAAAAAAGACAGCCAGCCATGGGGGAATAAGAAAAACGCATTCAAAATTTTTGCATCACTTCCGGTTTCGAAGTTAGTACTTCCGGTGAAGTCACTTTCAAGTGGAATTGAGTTATGCCCAAACTAACATATGCATGATATTAGTGTCATTAATACAAACCTATTAAACTAAAAAAATACGTACAAGAAGCAATAATAAGGCGCCATTTTGATTTGCCTCATTTTGCGAAAATTCCTATTCAGAAGCCATTATTTATCCGATTTGTGTAATTTTTGTGTCAAACGATACTATAAACGTTAGTCTACAATTCGTGTGAAGCAAAATTTTGATTTTCGGTTTTGCCTTTTTTTTATACGAACAGATGTTTTTTTTCAAAGTTTAAAGGCGTATATCTTCTGACCTTGACCTTTGATGACCTTCATATTAACTGTGAAGATAATTTATGACCTTGTCTATCTGATGACCTTTTGACCTTTGGGGTCAGACAACTCTTTCCCATTTTATAGGGGTCTAAATATGGACCCTAATATGGACCCTAATATGACCCTTGGTATGTATGTGTATAATCCAATTCTTAATTTGATGGAAATATTGAATTTTTGTTGTGCGCATGCACATTGCCAACTTTCTTATTTCTTATCTGAATTTCACTAAACTTGGTATGTATGTGTATAATTCAATTCTAAATTTGATGGAAATATTGAATTTTTGTTGTGCGCATGTGCATCGCCAACTTTCTTATTTCTTATCTGAATTTCACTAAACTTGGTATGTATGTGTATAATTCAATTCTAAATTTGATGGAAATATTGAATTTTTGTTGTGCGCATGCGCATTGCCAACTTTCTTATTTCTTATCTGAGTTTCACTAAACTTGGTATGTATGTGTATAATCCAATTCTAAATTTGATGGTAATATCTTATCCGGATTTCATCAAACTTGATCTTCATTAATTGACAAATATTCTTTTATTCCTAGTAAATATACTTTAAACTCCAGGCACTTTTGGATATTTGCATTTAGAGATGCAGAAAAAGTATTTACATCAATGTAATTGCAATAGACCATCTTCGTATGTACCTGAATGTCGTAACCCGCCCTGCATTAGTACTGTTATTAGAACAGTTCTAGTTTATAGTATTTCAAGATAGTTTCTAAATATTTGCTTATTTGTACTTGCATTGATACATTTAGGTCCATCTGGATTACCTGGTTTACAAGGAGTTAAAGGTTCAGCTGGTTTGCCTGGTTTACCTGGTTTAGATGGTCCTGTTGGTCCCAAAGGTAGTTTTGGACCTGAGGGTTTACCTGGTCTACCTGGTTTAGATGGTCAACCTGGACTTCCTGGAGTCCCTGGTAGGTTTTCAAGTTATGGCCTTGAGTATCAAGTTGAAACCAAAAGAAAGATCACATTGTTACAATTAAGATGTTTCAACATGAGTCTTAACCAATTTGATGAGATTCACAACCCGCAGGAAGAACACTCATGTTAAGAAATCAACATTGACAAATTCCTGAAGATTACAAGAGTACAATTAGAAGGTTTTTTCCAATATCAAAGAACTATTTAGCCTTTGAAAGAAGTCACTAAGCTTTACCGCCAATTAACGTCATTTACTTAAAATAGCAATTATTTTTTTTTAATAGGTCAAGCTGGAGTTAAAGGAGAGGCTGGATTACCAGGTCTACCTGGTTTAGCTGGACAGAAGGGTGATGGTGGTTTACCTGGATTATCTGGACAACCTGGTCTCCCTGGATTGGATGGACCAAGAGGTCTTCCTGGTACTCCTGGTATTGATGGTCTTCCTGGATTACCAGGTAAGGATTCAAACATCTGAGTAATAAATATAATAATTTGGAATATTTATTTGAGATATGCTAATTTCAGAAAAGTCAAATTTAAAGTGATGCAAGGCGTGCCGGAATGATTAGCATGAGCTCTTATAAGAGATTTAAATAGATGTTTTTAAATTGTATTTCTAACTAGTTTTATGGTCATCACCAGGATCTGATTGCTTGCAGCGCCACTACAAGTTCAAAGTTGTTCACAAATGTTTTCCTTTAGATTGGGTGAAGACCACTATTTGCTGATTTGTGACTAATTTTTATACGCCCACATGAAATGGGTATATTGCAGTCACCCATGTCCGTCCACAATTGCTCGTAAACACTCTACAAGACACAGTTCTTGACGGATTTTAAGAAATTTGGTATGAGTGTTCGTAATCACCCAAGGATGAACCCTATTGAAAATCAGACAAATTGAAAAATATTTAGTATAAGTTATTGCCCTTGTTCTTGAAAACGCGTTCAATTTTTAGCTCCTAAACACTTTAGAAGAGATTTTCTTGATGGATTTTAACAAAACTTGGCAGAGTGTTCGTAATCACCCAAGGATGAACCCTATTGAAAATCAGAAGAATCGAAAAATATTTAGTATGAGTTATTGCCCTTGTTCTTGAAAACGCTTTCAAATTTAGCTCTTAAACACTAAAAGGCATGATTCTGGCTGGATTTTGACAAAACTTGGTTTTATTATTCTGTCCTGGTTGAAGATTGAATATTTGCCTTCTAGAGTTTTCATGGGCTCAAAATTGAACGCATTTCAAGAACAAGGGCAATAACTCATACTCAATATTATTCAGTATTGCGCTAAAGAGTTCAAAAGAAGTGTATGACTGAAGGTTGAATATTTCATACTGGTGATTGTTACTGTACTGCTAAATATTTTTATTAAAAAAAAAGCTGCCAGTGGGCGTATATTACCTTGCCTGGCTTATTTAAATGTATCTTTGTTGGAAGAATTTCAGATTATAGGGTTTTTTTTAAAGGTTAGACCTGCCAACTGTTCAACAACCTTAATGTGGAAGAAAAAAAAAAGAATAGAAAAAGATGTTCATTTTGAGATGATGTCAAATTATATTTATTTACAGGAGCCAAAGGAGAACAAGGTGTAATGGGATTCAATGGAGAACCTGGACGAGATGGATTACCTGGACTTCAAGGTTTACCTGGAGTAAAGGGTGATAGAGGATTACCTGGTTCACCTGGTGACAATGGTTTACCTGGATTAAGAGGTTTGAAAAATATTTCTTTACAAAGTTTGTTAGTCAAGCTACTTTTAAAAAATCCTGTTCATTTAACTTTTAATTGCATTTGACACTTAAATAGCTATTAGAGTACAAAAACTTTCCCCAGAACCTGTTTATATGTTTTGAAACTGTATCATGTATTTGTTTTTGTAGGGCCACCGGGTTCAGATGGTTTACCTGGTCTACCAGGTTTGAAAGGTGATTCTGGTCTATCTGGTTTACCTGGTTTGAAGGGTGACAGAGGTGAACCTGGTCTAAATGGACTTCCTGGAGAAGCTGGTCTACCTGGTGAGTACATTTGATTATAATATACAAGGTTCTTGGTTCTTTTTCAACATTGTTTAAAGATATGATGAATTTAATTATTGTATGTGTCTTGAATGCAAAGTTCTTTCTTCAGCATTTGGGAATCATTATCAAAAATGTTTTTGAGGAAAAAATGAAACAAATTTGCAGAATCAGAGGATTATTTGATAAGGATAAACTGAATGATGTATAAGTATTAATGTATTAATACCTGATATATCAAAGATGTATTTCTTAATTATTAAAGGTTTACCTGGAACCCCTGGATCTAAAGGACAACCTGGTAATGATGGATATGGTACTCCTGGTAATGATGGTATGCCTGGATTACCAGGAAGAGATGGTGAACCTGGATTACCTGGTTTGGCTGGTCCCAAGGGTAATGATGGTTTACCAGGATTCCCTGGGTTACAAGGATCTAAGGTATTGCCAAGGTTATTTATCTAATTAAGGTTTAAGATTAATTATTTATTGCTTACATCGTGAAATACTGAACTCTGTCCATTTTCCTGAACAATGAAGTTGTTTAACATTCATGATTTATTCCTTAATTTTAAGAATTATCTTTGATTGTTTCAGGGAGAATCTGGATTACCTGGACAACCTGGTTTACCTGGTTTAGATGGAGTTCCTGGACTTAAAGGAGATGCAGGTTTACCCGGTTTACCTGGACAATCAGGTCCCAAGGGTCAGTCAGGATTACCAGGATTGGATGGACGCCCTGGACTGAAGGGTGACCGAGGCAACGATGGTAGACCTGGCTTACCTGGTTTATCTGGACCTAAAGGTCAACCTGGTTTAAATGGTTTAGACGGACAACCAGGTAATTATCATCCATTTTTAATTTGACAAAATTCCAATTCAACATATTCAGTTAATCAGTTATAATTTAATATTACAAATTATTGAGAGAAAATTGGTGAGGATTTTCATTTTTTTTTATCTTTTAGGCCAACCTGGATTATCTGGAGAAAGAGGAGAGAACGGACAACCTGGTCTACCAGGTTTATCTGGACTTAAGGGAGAATCGGGCTTACCTGGACAACCTGGATTACGTGGTAGGTTGAATTACCTTCTGTTATTTAGAGATTCAAATTTAAGAAATGGAATAATCTAAATAAATAAAAAAATAGAATATGAACATAATTAGGATCAATATTTAATGAAGTAAATTTGGAATTTGCTCACTTGGAAATTAACAGAGTTTTTAAAATTCAGTTTATTCCATTTGATATAAATATACAGCTAGCTCTGATTGGATCTATTTTGATCTTTATTTTGATCTATTTTTAGGTTCTAAAGGAGATTCTGGATTCCCAGGTTTGGATGGATTGCCTGGCCCTGCTGGTCTAAAAGGAGACAGAGGTTAGCATTATCATTATTATTGCACCAATCAAAGAAAGCAAACAGGAAAAAATACTACATGGGCATCTAGCTTGGTTTCATGTTTCCAGTTTTACTAGCCCTGGTCAATCCTCGTAGCATTGATTTTTGTCTGATGTTTTTTGGAACAGTGGCAAAAGCAATCATGAGAAAAGATGACTATCACCTGAACTATAATCTATCATTTTTTTGGTTCCTTTCACCAATTTTTCAGGCTTCCCTGGCCAAGATGGTTTACCCGGTTTACCAGGTCAATCTATTGATGGTCCAAAAGGAGAACCTGGATTACCAGGCAGAGCTGGACTTGATGGTTTACCAGGACTAAAGGGAAATCCTGGTATGTTTTATTATGGTCTTGTAGAAGTTAAAATTTACAAGTATCATCTTCTTATGCTTTCTACACATGCTTTGGATATGAAATTCTCAACCTCCCTGGTTTTGAAATGTGGTAAAGTTCCAGACAGTCAACATGACAATTTTAGTTGTATTCTGATTCATTGACAAAATAACACCTTTATTGTTATGCATTGATATTTGCACAGAAGATTAGAAAATTCATTATTCAAATGATGGTAGAAACTTTAAATTTGACTTAGCCTACTACATTAAAACGAGATCCTTTTGTTAATTTTTCTGACAGCATATCCTTTAAGAGATAGGTTCGTCATCTGTTTGACCCATCTTACCAGCTAATCAGTAATAGCATTTACAGCTCACCATATGTGTCCAGAATTATCTGTGTTTGAAAGTTAAGATGACTCTGCCATATATAGAAAAGACAAATATAGAAATAGAAAGTGAAATTTCTAGTTTGAGGTATTTTGAAGGAATTATGCGCTTTTCATACATTTTTAGTACTATTTAAATATTTATATATAATTTGGCATGCTGTTCCTTTAAACTTGAAAACTCATACTGACTGCAGCTAAATTCAAATTAATTATATATTCTATAGGTTTACCTGGTTTAGATGGTTTACCTGGATCAAAGGGAGATGATGGGTTACCTGGTATTGGACGTGATGGACAGAAGGGTGATGCAGGATTACCAGGAAGACCAGGTGATTACTTTATGAGAAGTATCGACAATGATCCATTCAACCACGTAATCCTTATTCCAAAGTAATATTGGTTGCAATACTCTAAGTATATTAGTGTATACATCCACTTTGTGTTCCTTCTTATTGGTTAGTATTTTATTAACTTTTTTACTTTAATTTTGCTTTTCAGGATTACAGGGTGATAGAGGATTACCCGGACAAGATGGATTACCTGGTCTACCTGGACTTAAAGGTGAACGAGGTGATAGTGGTATCAGTGGTGAACCTGGTCGCAGTGGATTACCTGGTATTCAAGGTCCTAAAGGTGAGGATCAAAACTTAGGAATGAAATATCTAATTCTTGTAGATGTGAAAAGGCAAGAAAAAGGCTTAGGTATCAAATCTCAAATTAAATATTTATTTATGCTTCATTTTATTAATAGGTTCACCTGGTTTACCAGGTCAATATGGTTTACCAGGAGAGAAGGGAGATAGTGGTTTACCTGGGTTACCAGGACGACCAGGAGAATCAGGACCTCAAGGTTTTGACGGTTCAAATGGATTCAAAGGAGATTCAGGTAATTTTTGTGTTAAGCAAATATTCTGATGTAATCATGAATACATTTAATGAAATGTTAACGAGTAGGGTACAGTCTTTTAGTTGAGGAGAGAATGGATTGAGTAATCTCAAATAGGATAGAGCTGATTGGTAGACATTGGTTGATCTCTTTTTGTCTTGTTGTTAGGTTTACCTGGTTTACAAGGTCCACCTGGAGAGCCTGGATTACCTGCCAGTGTACAGATTAGAGAATTACCCAAAGGAGATAGAGGTAGTCCCGGTCTTGATGGATTACCTGGCAGACCTGGTTTACAAGGACTTAAAGGAGAACCTGGATCACCTGGTATGTCATTTTGTTGCTTTTTTGGTATAGTGAGTTTTGAACTTTGACCTCATTTATTTTGTCAACTTTTAGACTTTGACTAATGGATTGCCAAGGTGATTCTGAAAGATATCAGAAATGCTAAATTTCCGTTATTTTTTGTTTGAAGGTTTACCTGGTTTAGATGGTCCAACTGGTGAACCCGGTTTACCCGGTTTCCCTGGAGAGAAAGGTGATGGTGGTGATCGTGGTGTTGATGGTTTACCAGGTTTGGATGGTGCACCAGGTAAGATATTTGTGGATACTATAAATATATAGTACAATATATTATTCAGTTTCAACCAGTCATGATATTGAGAATTTTATTGTTAGAAAAGAATGAAGTTGTTTACGACTGATTGTTGATTATTTCGTTAAAATTTATAATGAGATTAATGTTTCTTTGTGATAGGTCGACGTGGTAATGATGGTTTGTCTGGAGAACCTGGTCTACCTGGAGTTACTCCACCTACTGGTTACCTCTATGTACGTCACAGTCAATCTACAGATGTACCACGATGTCCCAACAATCAAAATCAATTGTGGACTGGTTACAGTTTACTTTATATTGAAGGAAATGAAAAATCACACCATCAAGATTTAGGTAGGCTTTTCCAGATGATTCTGTATTATTTATTTGATGCTTACAGTACTGTTTGAAGTCTACCAAAAGCATTGCAAAGAAAGACATTCCTTTACCACATCGAAAGAAAGGCCCTAGTTACGGCACAATGTGCCTCACAACTGCCTGGATTTTGATAATGTTGAATAAATTCCTTCTGAAATAATCTAGTCATGTACCTTTTACTCACCTAAGTGTCTGCTTTGAATGACCATTGATATATTCTGTTTAGGTTGGGCTGGTTCCTGTATGCAGAGATTCAGTACAATGCCATTCCTTTTCTGTAATACCAATGAAGTCTGTAATTATGCCAGCAGAAATGATCGTTCCTATTGGTTATCTACCAATGCCCCCATACCCATGATGCCTTTAGTAGAACGAGAAATCCAGCCTTATATCAGTAGATGTGTAGTCTGTGACGCTCCAACCAATATCATCGCAGTACACAGTCAAACATTGCAAATACCAGAGTGTCCACAAAACTGGAGATCAATGTGGATTGGTTACAGTTTTGCTATGGTAAGATGTTTGTTTTGTCATAAGATGTGGTGACATTTAGGAAAGGAAGCGAAAAATAATTTTCTGCAAAAGATGAGAGCAATTATTGTCAAAATTGCAGAAAATATGAACTTGTAAATTGTGAGCATGTGATCGGTAGAGGATTAAACATAGAATTTGAAGGGAATGGTTTGTAGGTTAACCCAGATGTTAATGTAAACCACATGATAGATAAAATGTAAACAGTGTACTCAAGTCCTGCTACAGACATCAACATTCAGATACTCAGAAACAAGTTCCAATGACACGAACTGTGGTATATCTAGTTTAGGAGAAACCTTAAATCCTATATTAAAAGTAATCAGTAGACTAATTCTTTGAAAAGCAGTTTCATGCCATACGAACCTAAGTTTGGTTTGTACACAGTAATAACACACACAAACGTCGTTCAAAGCCAGTTTGAGTCTCCACCTCAACTTGATAATATTTTGAAAAAGGCTATAATAACTTAAAATGTGATTTGAAGGCTTAGTTGAAATATTATAGCGGTTAGCCTGGCAAGAATCGTGCCTTTTAGAGTATACAAGCTAAAAATTAAAAGCGTTTCCAAGAACAAGGGCAATAACCCATACTAAATATTTTTTGATTTTTTTGATTTTCAATAGGGTTCATCGTTGGGTGATTACACTCACACCAAGTTTCGTCATAATCTGTTATGATTTGGGTTTCTTAGAGTGTTTATGATCTAAAAATTGAACAGGTTTTCAAGAACAAGGGCAATAACTCATACTAAATATTTTTCTTGATTTTCAATAGGGTTTATCCTTGGGTGATAACAAACATTCACACCAAGTTTCGTCAAAATCTGTCAAGAATTGAACCTTCTATAGTTTTTCTGAGCATTTAAAGAACAAGGGCAATAATTGACTTTCAATAGAGTTCATCGTTGGGTGATTACAAACACTCATACCAAGTTTCATCAAAATCAGTCAAGAATTGTGCCGTCTAGAGTGTTTACGAGCAATTGTGGATGGACAGACAGACCAATGGGTGACAACAATATACGCCTCCCAATTTCATGTGCCTTCCTCAAGGAGTCAAAACTAACATAATTAAAAAAGTATTCACACACTCATTTGGCTATTTCCAGTGAAGTTAATCTTGTTTGTTTTTATATTTCAGCATACTGCAGCTGGACCTGGAGGTGGAGGACAATCTCTCTCTAGTCCTGGTAGTTGTCTGGAAGATTTCCGAGCCACACCATTTATAGAATGTAATGGTGCTCGTGGAACCTGTCATTTCTTCGCAAACAAATACAGTTTCTGGCTCACAACTATAGAACAAGATCAACAATTTAGTACACCCCAGTCACAAACATTAAAGGCTGGTAATTTGAGAACTCGAGTTAGTCGTTGTCAAGTCTGTATGAAAAATGTGTGAAATTCTATGGTCTCTCTGTAGTTTTTTTAAATTTTGTAGTAAAAAAAAATTTCCGGAAAAAAGCCACTTTTTTTTTTGTATAGAAGCAATATTATGTGATGTTTTTTTTTTTATATTATTTTGGATTCTGTATCAATGTCTATATAATTTGATGAAAAGGTCATAAACTTTGACCTATGACCTGGGATTCATTTTGTTCTATGGTGCTGTTTTCGCAATGTGCACGAGTGCATTACAATGCTCAAAAAGGATTATATTATAGTATGGTTCTTACTTCAAAAAGTTACCACAAGCGCCATTTTGATTGAAAAACAGAGATCTTAAAGCATTTTGAGAAAAGAAATATTATTGTTAAGGATGTAGACATATTTTAGTATGATTATGAAACATGGATTAGTATTGAACAGGATATGGAAGTTACATCTTTCTATTTATCAAAAATTACTATTTATCAAAAATTACTAAGAAATTCTCTGTATTTGAATCAAAATGGCCATGTGAAAGGATTGGTTCACTGTGATTAATTTTTCACTGCCATTTTTTTATCTTGAATTCTGTTGCCCACAAATTATCATGAATATTTCTTTTGGAAGGAATTTAGACATTTTTTTCCAACAAATTCATATATTTGGTGCAATTTTGCCACGAAAACAAAATGTTATTATTTGTGATTTTGGGGGCATTCTAAGTTGAATTTGTAGACATATTTTAAATTCTGTTGTAAAGTTACCAGACATCTATATGTCTAGAGAACAAATTTGCTGCGTCAAAAACTTAAGCATATTTGTGGAAATATCTTTTAAGAAATTGTATTTGTATTTTAAACTGTAAGTTAACCTTACATAAGGGAACCTTATTTGTGCATGTTTTTAACATTTTATATGTAAGTAGGTGCTAAATGTATATTAATATCTATTCAGATTTCATTTTTAATGTTTGATATTTTAAATATGAAAATGAAGTATCTAGTTTTTATCCAATTACTAAGTTTGTAGTTGTTATCAATATCTTAAAAGCACATTATTTTATTAGATTTCATTACTTTTATCAAATTCAAAACAAATTGTTTTTAAACATCAAAACAAATTTTGGATCTAGCTTGTCAATCAAAACTTGATATTAATAAAACGAAAAATGAAAAAAAAAAATTTTTTAAGATCTCGAGGGCACATACATAACCTGTTTCATAAATCTTTTCATTTTTTATAGTGTATATAAATATTATGGAGCTAAGCCTGTTTTATTATAGTGTATAGTATTAATAGAAGGTAATCCGGCCAAAGCAAATTGTCTAGTCCATTCTTAACTGCCAAATTTATACTTGTAAAAAATTTAAGAACTCTTTATAAAATTGTGCAATCTTCTTTTATAAAATGATTAAATCTTGGAATTCATTTGGGTACCTACTTGAAGAAATAAAAGGTTTTTACAAGACAGTTTTTATTGATAATTAATATAACAAGAGGGGCAGTGGCGGTGTTCGATTGCAGGAAGGGGTGAAATATTCAACTAAGATGTTCTTGAGCATCGAACTGTTACTATCACTTTTAATACCAATATTGTTAATAAGTTACTTGACTTGACAAGTCAAAATCCATTTGAAAGCGGTGGGTTCGTTTTGGTTTTTGAACAATCTAGACAATCAAGTAGGGGAAATACTTGAATATTCATACCGCAATTGCTTTGATTGCTTCGGAAACATATGTTTTTTGGGTCTACAATATAGGCTCCAAAATTGTTTTGGTTTGGTCTTACTTCTATTTTATTTTTATTAACTTTAAGTTTCCTTATTACTTCGTATTGGCTTTATTACCCCTAAATACCAAACTATTGCTATTGTTTTAATACCGACGAATTTATAATACGTTCTAGGTCTTTCTCTTTTCTGCTTTTTTTTTGCTACTCAATAAAGGTGGATACCAACCTCAGGTTAGAACCCTACTCTACACTCACAGTAGTGCGCTGGATGATTTCGCCGCGAGATGTTTAGTTATAGTGTACAGTGATGATATGAGTAATGGGTCGAAGGGTTTTTTTACGGGCCTAGGTAGCTAAGATAATCATTAAAATATTTAATAATTTCTTAAGGCTGCATATCATTTCGGTGACAATTTTTTTTAGTAAAATCTATGCATCGATTTGGATCGGAAGAGATCTATGTTTTTAATTAATTATTAATAAGAGCATTTTATCAGAATATCGCCCAGTTCAGTGTTGAAATAAGTGCTTGAGATTTCTAGCTCCGTCACACCGGAAAGGCGTCCTTACTGAGTTGATACGGCGACGAAAAATTATCTTCGTAGCCATGCCCCAGAGCGTGGTATAACATCTCCATAAACGCAATAATAATGTACACCAAGCCACTACATTGTATTAAAAACGCGCCTAGGAAACGCAATATGTTGCAGGTTGATAGCGACTGATGTAAGGTTTTAAAGTTTACGGGACTTTTTCTTCACGTTTGCCGGCGACCAATCCGGTGTAAAGGTGAGTTTACCGAACACGCGGTATGCGTATCGCGGGACGCGGCAACGGAATGCGGTATGAGATTTTTTCGCTCCAGGCCATTTTCATCAGGGAACGTCCTTTCATCTACGATCTATGGATGCACAGAAGATGAGTAATGCCTGGGAGAGCATAGCAAAAACGTTGAAAGTGGAAGGACTAGATGGTGAGCTTCATTTTAAGCCTCTACCACCACGAAATGAACCTACTCCTTTCCAATCAAATGTTCAATATGCTAACAAACACCTTTCAACGATATCTACCCATTACGAAGACACAGGGCTACGGAGCCAAAACGAGTGTTCGGGAGCAACGTCCGACCTGCTTACTGCGGCTATGCACATGTCTTTTCAATAGTAGTAAATATTTGTTTTCTAGCATTCTAGTTAATTAATAACAAGTTGTTAAAAAATTCCTATTTGTGTTTATTTATTACCTTATGCAAATTGCCAAACGTTGTCTTGGACAAAGGACTTCTGTCGATCGATGGTACTTGACAAGATCCTCACGCAGCACAAACAAGAGCTGAGCAAATTCCTCACGTCTGAATCGAAAATAGCGTTGAAACATATCTTCGTCTAATCCCAGCTCTTGTACCAGGTTGTAATATGCTCCTTGTTCCCTCCGTCTCTTGAAAATAAGATGAACTGCCCATCTTCGCCTTCGTCTAGAACGTCTCTTCCTTGCTATCACATTGGCCCCAACGGCGATGATTACATCCCGCTGGATTCGGTTGCATCGTGTTGGAGAAGGAACGGACCAGATGGGCGCCATGCATATGAAACTTGAAGGGATACCGCCACGTTAACGCCTTCCGATAAATAGAAGCAGCAGTCCCAAATGGGGGTCTAGGACAATGGAGGGTAAATAAACTTCTAAAATTCTAACGATCCAACTGCAAAACGAATCTCAAAATCCAAACAACAAATTGGCGAAACATTAGAAGCAGCTATTTAACTTTTCACATAAGGAAGTACATCAATCATAAGTGAGGAATACTTTCAACTTCATCTGCATCAAGATGTAAGCCAATTGACAAACTTATGCTTTTTTTGGAAACGCCCCTGCAAAACTGCTTCAAGAAACTAAATTTGACTCTGCAAGTTTACAATGACATTCATAATGGTAATAAGACAATTAATTCTCTTGGATACAATACGACAAAAGCAAAATCTTAACATACAAATGTAGTTCAGACACGAGTCATATAATAGAATGTATGGCAATTGGTACCTTAAATTGATTTTAGCTTCCCCAATACGCTACTCGAGTCGCGCAGACCGCCATTAACATTTTCAAGACCTTATCACAACTTAAACTGCGTATGTTCACGTTTTGAAGACAAAGTCTCAGCAAGTTTCGGTTTACACTTACACGATATATATATTAAAGGGACACTGCGTCTTAGAATACACTCGTCCTGTGGCTAATATTTCTGTTTAATAGTGACCATTGGTTAAATAAGTATGCATCCCACACTTTATCAAGAAAAAGCGACAATAAAACTATAATCAGGATTTTTTTTAAAAAGTGAGCAAGCGATGAATCCGTACAGTTTGAGAAAAAAACAGTCTGGGTAATCAACGCTAAAACAGGAAACAATCATCTTCCGGTGTATACAAACAAACTTTGCCAATGATTAATATTCGTTGAAAATTGTGTCAGCGGTGGAGTATTCATTTTAAATTATGAGAATTGCTTTTTCGCGGAGTCGCTTAATCTCCTACGAGGCATTGTTATTCCGTCTTCAAAATACGTCTATTCAAGAGTAGAGGTCAAGGAAACTCCCCTTGTGATTACACCGGATTTTCTAGACTCACGATTTGAAAATCGCTTTATGGATGTATTAAGCGTTTTATAATTAATTACTTGATTTTGTGGGTATATCGGATTATAGAGGGATTTTGATGTATAGTTAGGACACCAGGTAAGTCCACTGATGGATATACATGTATACTGTTATTGGCTAAATTTGAGCAAAATTGAAATTTTTATGTTCATCCTAAGACGTAGTATCCCTTTAAAGGGAAAAGTAGGTCATTTTTTTTTGACCAATCTTACTATAGTCTGAGTTAATCAGTTACAATGTTCACAGCTCACAGTCGAAATTTGAGTCTTCAAATCCACGTGTGTCCAGAATTTTCTGCGTTTGATTATTATAATGACGATTCGTCAATTGAATATACTGTGTGATATATAGAAATGACATGTAGGCTATAGAAATAGTGAGTAAAATTCCTAGTTTGAAGTATTATTTAAGGAATTGTCTGATTTTCGTACTCTAGCACTTCTGAAGACTATTTACATATATTGAAGACTCAAATCAACCCCCAAAAATGGCTCATCTGTCCCTTTAAAAGCAGACTGCATCAGAAGTGGTGTGAAGTTTGATTATATTATTTATTTATCAAAGTTCACGTTTATCAGTCATTAATATTTCTTTATCAGCATCATTATAGTACATCGTTTTATTCATAAGTATAAATTGTACAGGGAATATTAATCGAATAAAAGCATCAATGTTAGTAAAGAGGCCATGCTCTACAGCTTCAAGAGAACTTGGATTAATAATTCAAGGATTAAACTACATCCTTATTCCTTCTCTTATGAACTCGCTGTGACTCAGCCTGAGTCAGTGATAGGTCCATGGTTCAGGTTGTGAACATCTGGAATTCAATGCCTGAAAATGTTGTTTCATCCAATACCTTAAACCAATTCAAATCGAACCTGAATAAAGCATGGAGGAACGACGCGATTAAATTCAATCCCTCTACAATGTTGTAAATTAATTGTTATTAAACCTACTTTTACTAAATTTTCCACGTCATGCGCACTAAACTATAATTCCGAGGCGATCTAGAAGCTTTTAGCTTAATACAGATCGAAGATCAGGTAAATGAGGTTGATAGCGACTGATGTAAGGTTTTAAAGTTTACGGGACTTTTTCTTTCTTCACGTTTGCCAACGATCAAACCCGGGAAACGGGGTTATTCTCGAGGTCCTTGCGCGAATTCGTCAGTTACTTTATCGCAGTGACCAGCAAATCTGCCGCTCATGTGTCATCAGCAGCAGTCCCAAATGGGGGTCTAGGACAATGGAGGGTAAATAAATTTCTAAAATTCTAATGATCCAACCACAAAACGAAACCCAAAATCCAAACTACAAATTGGCGGAACCTTAGAAGCATCTATTGAACTTTTCACAAGAGGAAGTACATCATGATATCAAGTGCCTAGAAGAGTAAGAATACCCTGTTTGGCGCAACACCCGTCATAGCTTCGTGGGAAGTATTCCTCGATTCGATTCGTTTCAGGGCAGAAAAGATGCGTTCAGCTGTCGAAGAGCTTCAGAGCTTCATGGTAACTAGTTCAGGGCCTTCATCGATTTCAATACTTTCAACTTCATCTGCATCAAGATGTTAGCAAATAGCCATTTTAGTAAAGAGGCGATGCTCGTCAGCTTCAAGGGAACTTGGAGTAATAATTCAAGGATTAAACTACATCCGTGTTCCTCTTCTCATTCATCCCAATAGTAATGCGCGGGATGGCGCAGTGAGTCAAGGATAGGTCCTTAGTTCAATATAGGCATTGGTTGATAGGTCTACTCTTTCGGATGGGACAATAAACCGAGGTACCGTGCGCTACAAGCTGTGCACGTAAATTAAAGGTTCCTCGACAGTTGGGAAGCAGGCAGTCCTGGCACACTGGATGACGTTGGTCTTCTTCATGTGCCTAGGCACAGAAGAGAAACTTCATTCATTCATTTCATCCAAATAGTAGCACTGACTCTTGTGCTCCAATTAACCCACAGTGACCCTTAAACAAACATTATCATTTGATAACAATCTTATCCAACTACATGTATATATATCACAAGATAGATATGACATTCGGCTATCGGTTTTCTTGACGTTTGCACGGATAATGGCGTTTTTGAGAAAATTTCTAAGCTTTTGTCTAATATGCGTAGTGACGAGCAATGTTTTGAAATTCCAACCAGTTGACATACTAAATTATTACGACTTCTTGATGAAACCTTCCCGGCCGTCAAGATATATGGACGTAAAGAAATACCAACAATATGTAAGTATGGAAGGATAATTCGCACTAATCCTTTGTGGCGCCATGAACTCAAATAAGCGAACGTTACGTTTATAACAAAATAAGGTACTCTTCTTGTCCAGTTGTTGGTGGCTTAAACACAAGAATTGTCGATTCTTAATCCCAACTGTGTGTTACCCTTTTTGAAACCTACATCCAATTCGGCGATGGGATTCATTGAACAAGGATGTTTATGGATATCATTAACTTGCACTCTTAATACTCAGAAATGGATAACTTTATGGCATCCCTGCATATAATCATATACTGATTTTGATTCGAAACAAGGTATGCCGTAAGGCCAAGGCAGTCCATGCAATACAGATCTTTACTTTTACTTTTTAGGGATTGAATGTACCCAAACCACTGAAAGCTTTCCATTTTGATAACTGTGGTCCTACCACTGAATCCATGGTAATAGTAAATAGTTTAACTGTATCACCAGATCCTGTTGCTTTACCAGGAACAGTCACAATAGGCTTTTCTGTTCTCTTCAAAGATACTGTCAACTCGCCTGTATCGGTAAGAGGTCTGACTCAATTCAACATCTTTTTCGTAATCCACAACCTTTTCATCATCAGCAGCAGCGGCAGTATCATAATTATTATCACAGTACTATCATTGGAACTGGATTTCAAAATCTCTTTCTCATGCTCCGATGAGTGCCGCATGGCCTTTCTCCAAAGACACCACAATTAATACGAGAGGGTATGGAATACTCTCTTATTTCTATAAAAACTTTATTAAGATTGAAACTTGATATTTAAGAAATTTTCTATCTTTTTGTCAGACTGATGTACAAATCAAGAAGAGCGTGTTTGGAACTTTTGTGACTATTCCTTGCATCGAAAACTTTGGTTCCTGTCATTATGATGATTTCTGTACCATTCTCTCAGGAGTGACTTGTCCTGAAGAGTTCCAGGAACACGGCATTCCTTGCAACTGTCCATTTACCACGGTAAGAAGTTATAGTGTAGGCATATTTAAAAACAAAACTCACTTGATTTTGAGAAAAGGGGTCATAAACTTTTTAAAAATTAGGGTTTCAACTTTTCTATCCGTTCAAAATGGCCACCGAACACTAATAATGTGATATTTTCGATAAGATATGTGATACAATTAGAAATGAAGTGTCTAAATATATGTTTTCTAAGACCAGGTAATCATCAAATTTATGTTCTATGAATGATCTACATGCCAAATTCCAAAACACCACGGGGCATCTTGAATTGTTTGAAGAGGAAGATACCAAATGCCCTAGTTTTAACAATGGATATTAACTGAAATATCATTTTATGTATGTCATAGAAAGTAACACCTCAAATTTCAATCGTCATATATCCTTGGTTAGACAGTTTTGTTATTGCAGCTTAACATGTTCAATAAAAGGCAGTTATTGCTGGGAGCATTGGCGATTTTAACTACGGAGGTCAATCGTATTCAGATGATGCGAATACATTTCCTGATAAATTCAAAGAAGTAAAAGTATTTGCTCAACCATATCTGGATTATTGTTCTGCAATTTGGGATTCGAATGACATTGTATCGGCCGACCTATTACTTACGCAACAAAAAATAGCTTTGAATTTGACGATTTTCGATGAACGGTTTTTCAGTTATTGCCCTTGACTAAGTAAAAACGCGTCAAAATTTGTTTGTGAACACAATAGAGACTACAGTTTTCAACTGATTTTAATGAAATTTGGTGTGATCATTTATATTGATGAGACCCTGGTCAAATTCGAATTTGACGATCTTTAGATGAACAGTTTTTGAGTTATTGCCCTTGACTTAGGAAAACACGTCAAAATTTGTTTGTGAACACAAGGAGACTACAGTTTTTTATACGCCCACATGAAATGTTTAGCGTATATTGCCGTCACCCATGTCCGTCGGTCCGTCCGTCCGTCCACAATTGCTCTTAAACACCCTACAAGGCACAATTCTTGACTGATTTCGACGAAACTTGGTATGGTTATTGCTTTTGTTCTTGAAACGCTCGTAAACACTCAATTCATGACGGATTTTGATGAAACTTGGTGTGAGTGTTTGTTATTACCCAAGAAAGATCGAAAAAATAATTAGTATGAGTTATTGCCCTTGTTCTTGAAAACTCGTTCAATTTTAGCTTGTAAACACTCTTGAAGACACAATTTTTGATGGACTTTGACGAAACTTGGTGTGAGTATTTGTAATCACCGAAAGAAAAACCCTATTGAAAATCAGAAAAATTGAAAAATATTTAGTATTAGTTATTGCCCTTGTTCTTGAAAACCCGTTCAATTTTAAGTTCGTAAGCACTCTAGAAGGCACTATTCTTGAGGATTTTGACGAAACTTGGCATGAGTCTTGGTCATCACCCATGGATAATCCCTATTGAAAATAAGAAAAATTGAAAAATATTTGGTATGAGTTATTGCCCTTGTTCTTGAACACGCGTTCAAAGTTTAGTTTGTAAACACTCAAAAAGGGACATTTCTTGACAGATTTTGGCGAAACTTGGTGTGAGTGTTCGTAATCACCCAGGGATGAACCCTATTGAAAATCTGAAGAATTGAAAAATATTTAGTACGAGTTATTGCCCTTGTTCTTGAAGACGCGTTCAATTTTTAGATTGTAAGCACTCTAAAAGGCACATTCTTGACGGATTTTAACGAAATTCGGCTTTAGTTTTTATTATCACCCAAGGATAAAGCCTATTGAAAATCGAAAAATATTTAGCATGAGTTATTGCCCTTGTTCTTGAAAACTCGTTCAATCTGTTGATCGTAAAAACTCTAGAAGGCATGATTCTTGCCGGATTTTGACAAAACTTGGTTTTATTATTGAATATTTGCGTTCTAGAGTTTTCACAAGCTAAAAATTGAACAAGTTTTCAAGAACAAGGGAAATAACTCATACTCAATATTATTCTGTATCGCCTTAGACTTCAAAAGAAGTGTATGACTGAAGGTTGAATATTTCATACTGGTGATTGTTACTGTACTGCTAAATATTTTTATTTAAAATCAAAGCTGCCAGTGGGGTGTATGTTACCTTGCCTGGCAAGCTATCTTTTGTAATGTGTACTTAATGTACGAAATAAATATATTATCACTATTAAGGAACAAGTTACCCGAACAGTTCAAAATCTGTCAATCTGTTGACTCTTTTAAGAGAAAGTTATAAACACATCGTTTTAGAAGAACCTTTACCTAAACAACTGTGTGTGAGGGAGGGTGAGGGTGTGTGTATAAACATTGACTATAATGTAGAAATATTTGTGTTTGTAAAGCGCCTTTGAATGCCCATGTTAGAGCATGTGGTGGGGTTTCTAGATACTGTGCCTGTAAGAAGTATCTTTAAAACCTTCCATTGGACCAATAATATGCCTGTTTACTAATATTTATCTTGACTCTTAACAGTTATGATTCAATATTCTGGATGATTCGATTGTTTATACTAATTCAATAATTTGTTCTACTGTTTTACATATTGTTTCACTAGCAATTCTATTTTTGGCCTGAACTTAATAAATCAAAAACTTTTAATGTCTGGGGATGAGTAAACATCTTTGAAGCTTTATTTTGCACAGGTCGTACTTAACCCCTCTGATCCACGAATCACTAATAGTGCGTTCAGGTGACAAAAGTTAAGACAGCGTCGCCATTTTCATCGGAAGTACTGAGGTAATAATACCATTACGCATGCGCATTATGACAAGGGTAATAATTGTGGGAATTTGATTAAACGAATGCACACGCGCAGACATGACATATCCGACTGAATCTTAGCCACTAGCGTTCAGGCGGAAAAACTAAGCTGGCTTAACTTTCCAAACCACATTTTAAGTCACACCCGGAGTAGGTGCAAGTTAAGGCAGCTTAAGTTTGACCGGTCGCGTTCAGACGATCAAAAAAGAACGATTGATAGTTAAGCTGCATTAACTTTTGTCGTCTGAACGCACTATAGCAGTTCCATTAAAACTATATTCATTCTAATTACAGGGTAATTATACTTTAATGCCAGGTATAAGTTTTACAGTAGATGTACCATTCTTACCGAGTGGTGATTACTACGCTTCAGCTAATATGACCAGTAACAAACAACATGTGGGCTGTGTTGAACTCTACGCAACATTTGCTTAATACCTGTGACTATTTGCAGGCCTAATAGTCTTTGTTTTTACCTTTTCGCTGTAATAAAATATTAAATATATTTTTGTTTTTCATTGGTCTGTCATAGTTGATTAAGAGCCAGAATATTTTGTTTAGGGGATCGCGTCGACCGTCCGGAAAATGATGCCATTTTGATACGAGTGAAGATGAGTAATTAACTAGAACTATGAACAGCTCCGAGTTTGGCAACAAGACCTCAAACCATGGCTTTTGAGCCTTTTGATACTTTTAGCCCCCTTGCTTTCAACTCCGGTGCCTTTAAGTCTACAATTTGTGAACAAGGAATACAAACAAATTTATCTGGTAAATAAACCAAATATATAATACCTTGCCCCATAGTTTAAAGACTTTGTGTACTTTAAAGGCCTCCTAAAGCCCGGCGTTCCCTCAGTTGCTTTTAGTAAACAGACGAGGAAACAGTTATTATTAAATCTTAAGGGTATATTTATTTTATCTAATATAATGTGATCGTATAGCAGTTGTAATAAGAAGGATGGGTTTTAAAAGCCAACCGCCTACCGCTGCCAACCGGCATACCGGAGTGATAAAAAGGCTCTAAAATGAGCATTGTTAAATTTAAGGATAGTAGATTTTCATACTTTTTTCTATTTTTGGGTATGTTTTCAGCCATTTTTAGCTAAAATAGTTCTATTTTAGAAAAATATTGAAATTATTCTGAGTGGCTAGTCTGCTATTGTCAGCTCTATTTTCAGCTATTTCTAGCTAAAATTGCGCTATTTTAGAAAGTTTTAGGAAGTGTTGATTATATTTAAGAAAAGAACAAATTTTGAAGCAATCCTAACAACGCATTTTATGCAGGATTTCAGAAATAGGGAGTTTTTCGCTACACCATTTCTGGTTGGAGTCTGATGTCTGGAAACATATTTAAAAGGTCTGGAATGTCCGAGCCAATTTTAAAAATGTTCACAGTATCACAGTTTTTGCTAGGTACTCTGACAACAATATGAAATTTCCCCAAACCCAGTTTGACTTATTTGCATAATTTGATCCCCCCATTTTCACGCAAGCACATTTATATACAGTTTCCTCCTGTTACGTTCGCTGTACATCCCCTTTCTAACCTCAAGTTATTTTCATTATGCTCCCCAACTACAACAGCCACTGGCAAGAAGCCAGACATAGAAACACTAATCGTCAACCAAACCAACACCACGTACTCTACATCGGCCTGTCTTCCATCGCCCTCTACCACCCACCAATCGCCGACCACCAACCAACCCATCCAGTTATATCCCACTCCATCACCGACCTACCTACAACAGAAACGACTACCAGCCCACCGACGCCAAAAGGTCCCCACTCATAAGGAGGAAGAACCCTTTGTAAAGGTGTTCTTCCAAGTTTTGCAGTGTCTCCATCATTGGCAATCCTTACTCTTCAAACGCAAAGTCTCCGAGTTGGATAGTTTTATCCGTCCAGCAATGAAAATATCAGGTGTCGACGCGAATATTAAATCCCTCAATCCGACATGGCTCTCTAAGGTTACGCAGGTCCTGATCGACCATTACCAAACCACACTTCAAGAGAAGCTGACCACCATTCGTACCAAGTCTTTATCATCACCTGCCGTCGACCCTATGGGAAACGTCTCACTCAAGCTGTAATACCAAATTTTACCAGACAACCAACGAAATCAATGCCATAGTAACCATATCTCTACCAACTGAAATGGACACTACACCTGCACCATCTTGAGTCACCACGCTACCGATCCAAACCCCTAAACGAGCCCGAAGTTCACCTACTCCTAGTCCAGCAGACACAGGTAAACGCTCTCGTAGAGAGGTCTCTCCCCTTGTCTTTTCACTTTCAGACTCGTTTTCCCCTTCCACGCCATCTGAATCTTCACCGCGTGATCCAGGATCCGCCAACTTTTCTTCCTTCTATGCGTTTTTGGACCAGCAAACCACCCCTCAGTCTCCATCCAAGTCAAGACGTTTATCCAGACCATCCCCTCCTCAAACCAGATCCCAGTCCGTGCCCAATGCTACATTTCTAACAACCACCAAACCAGTACCAATCACCCCGTCGAAAAATTAATCGCTACAGCCAACAAAACCTTCTCAAACTCCAAGATCATCTTCACATGTAGACCCATTTCAAATAAAATCTCGAAGAAAGCACAGCAGAACCTCAGCACCCTCAACAACATGATGATGGAGTCCAATACCAACAGCGCAACAATCTTACCACCTCAGAATAATTCGATCCAGTTGATAATCTTCATTGGTCTCCAGAAACAGCAAACAGTATTTATTTGTTTTGGATACACCAGCTTCAAGCATCGAGTAAGTCTTTAAAATAATTACTGGGGATAAAAATACTGAGAGGCCACCGCTAGGCCAAACTGTAGATAACTTGAGCCGCAAAATTCTCACACCCCTCCAGCATTCAATCTTAGACCTTGGACTTAAGTTGATTCCGACATCGGAGGTAGCCAACCGAAATTATCTCCGACCATCCATTGAACGATTTCAACGAAATCTTCGCTGCACATATTTTTTTCGAAAAAACCACAAATGGTCAAGCTTATTTCTTTTTTTGTCAGTCACCATTTTTTTTTAAAATCGTGGTTCTTTGAAGGAATTGTCACTAGTTATAATGAAATATTATTAAAGACAAATACTAAAGGAAGTTAATTATACCACTGGGTATCAATACAACGTGTTTTTGTCGACCTATTTTATAGATCAAACATTGTACACGAAAATAGGTGACGCATTTAGCAGCCATTGTCGAGTCGGTTACTCATGAAATATGGGTGAAGGTGAGGGATTCATTAAGAAAATCGAAAAAACAATTTTAAAATTATTTTGTAGAATATCTGAGGAAACTTCTAAGACATAAAAAACAAGTGGTTGTCTAGCAAGATACGCCCGCTTTCCTCATACATTTTCAGTATATCAAGGGCAGTCAACTATCTGTGGCAAATCTCACCAAAAATCTAATTTGTGCAAGATATTGTTGATTTAAACAAAGAGACATTATTCAATAAAATTCTGACATAAACTGTCACCTCCATCGCCAACAAATTTTGATGAGTTTTTACTAAGTAATGGGCAATAACTCAAATTCTGTTGATCGAAAAATTGTCAAATTTAATCTTTACTAAGATCTCATCATTATAAATGATCATACCAAATGTCATTTAAATCGGATGAAAACTGTACTCTCGATTGTGCTCACAAACAAATTTTGACACGTTTTTCATAAATCAAAGGAAATAACTCAAAAACCATTCATCGAAATATAGCCAACTTCAGACTTGACCAAGATCTCATCATTATAAATATTCACACCAAATTTCATTTAAATTGGATGAAAACTGTATTCTCTAATGTGTTCACAAACGCGCTTTTCATAAGTCAGGGGCAATAACTAAAAAACCGTTCATCGAAAAATCGTAAATATCGAACTTGTCCAAGATCTCATCGATATAAATGATCACACCAAATGTCATTCAAATCAGATGAAAACTGTAGTCTCTATCGCGATTACAAGCCAATTTTGACGCGTTTTTGGCTAAGTCGAGGGCAATAACTCAAAAACCGTTCATCGAAAAATCGTGAATATCGAACTTGTCTAAGATCTCGTCAAAAAAATGATCACACCAAATTTCATTCAAATCAGATGAAAACTGTAGTCTATATCGCGATCACAAGCCAATTTTGACGCGTTTTGGCTAAGTCAAGGGCAATTGTGGACAGACAGACCGACGGACGGACATGGGTGACGACAATATACGTCCACATTATCAAAATTGCGTTTTTCATTTTGATGAAATTTGATGTTGAACCCTTGTTGAAACTCATATGCACGAAAATAGGTTACACCACTGTATTATAGTTATATTTTCGATATTTAAATCCTGCGTACGCCACTGGTCCCCCCCCCCCCCCTCCTCGCATTGAAAAGGCGATCTGCGATGCATCATCAGGTTTCCATGACAACACATGTGCTGTGGTATGTTAATCACGATGTGAAAAATCAATAGCTTGATATAGGAATGTCATTTAATATTTATGATGTAGTCAGGTGGAATAGAGTAAGGCGTTATACATATATTGAATTATTTATTACTTCTACCAGTTTGTTCTTTAGTGCTTCTTTGATTTGTGGTCTTAGTAACTTCAGGGAGTAGTCCGTAATAGGTCGTTGGTAGTGAAGTTCTAGGAAGAGTAGATTTCTACAAGTTAATGAAAGAAAATAACCTTTAAATATTTAAGATTTGTTTTAAAGTTTTGATCCGTTTTAAATGAGGTAAGTTTACTATTTTTCTGGGCAATTTTTGTTTTTCATAAGGAAACTTCGTCACTATTCGTTAATGAGGTGCCAAAATCAAGCACACACTGATAAGATAAAATAATTCGTATCCAAATTGAAGTTCTGCATCTCAAATTTTCTGCCAGATCTAGAAATATATGGAAACTCTCATTGGTCGCTAGAATCTTATTGTAAGCTAACGTCATTGGCAAGATGACTTAAATCTACAACTAAAACCTAAAATATTTTAATCTAAATTGAACCCTGTACACAACTAGCTTTGCTTGACTACAGTTAAAGATCCCTCGCATGTGGAGAATGAACTAATAGGCTAATGCCATTGTCCTGGCAAAATTTCCCTTATTGTACTGTATGGCATTTGTATATTATCCAAATATAGTGCAAAAAGTAGTAGTTAAATTCCATGCATTTCATATTAGACTATATCTTTACGAACTATTCAAATGACTAACTATCTGTGTAAGTTGTAACAGATGGTGGTTATAATTTATTGATATCTCTCTACTTATTTCTATTGATTATAATGACTTCTTTCTACCATTAAGTCAACTTTTCAAACATTGGGCATAGTTTATTACACAGTTTTCTAATCTTTATTTACCATTGACAGATGTTAGTAAGCTAGAGTAAGAAAATGTGTAGTAGATTGAACTTAATTATCTATTGGTATTCAAATAAATTATTACTTTTGAAATATTTTCAGATGTAATTAACGACGATTCAGAACATGAAATTGTACATACTGCCCTCTAAAATAAATTATCCCTCAAGGATTACAATCCATGACTGGAAATTCTATCTAAAAGGATGGGCAATATGGAATGAAAATTATTTGATTACCATTATCCAAATAATGTGGATAATGTGTCCCCAGGGACAGACACACATGAAATGTCAGTTGGGGTTCAATGTCACATTTTGTTGAATGTTTACCCATGTACTATAGAGTATCCACATTTTTTGGATCAACTAAAAATGGACCAGTAAAAAACTTTGTGAAATGGTTTGTGTGTCTTCTATTTTATTGAACACATTTCCATGTAGGCGTATAAAAAATCAAAGCTCTTTTTCTTCAAAGCGCGTTCAATTTTTAGCTCTTAAACACTCCAGACGGCACAGTTTCTGACAGATTTAAACGGAACGTGGTGTAAGTGTTTGTAATCACCGATGGATAAACCCCATTGAAAATCAGAAAAATCAGAAAAATATTTAATATGAGTTTTTGCTCTTTGCTCTCAAATTTTAGCTTAAAAATACTCTAGACGGAACAATTCTCAATGGATTTTGAAGAGATTTGGTTAAATTGTTTATTATTACCCAAGGATGAACCCAAATCAAATTTTTTTTTTTAGTTATTGACTTTGTTCTTGAAAACACTTTCAATCTTTAGCATGCAAACACTTAAAGGCTCTATTCTTGACAAAACTTTGTAAAATTGTATAGTATCACCTCAAAAAGTATGACTGAAGGTTGAATATTTCTGTTGATAGCTACTGTACTGCCATACAGTTTGATTAAAAATCTGCCAGTGGGGGTATATGACCTTGTTTGACAAGCTATATTTATTATCCAATAGTCACAGAATTTGTTGTCATTATAGTTATTTGGAGACTATTTTTATGAGGTGTGAAAGTATTCAAAAAAATTATATTTTATTTCCAGATGAAGAGAAGTATGCCAACTATTTCAGTCTCCAGTGTTGAAGAGTTACTGAAATAGACGAAACTTAACTTGTGTTTGTAGCATATATCTACAAACAAATCAATTGTAATTCAATCCATTTCTTATTTATGTTGAAAATTCAATAAGTACTCTGTAATAAGTAACAGCTGTCAAGGTGGAACAATAGTAGCAACATGAGTGGTACCCTTTTTAAAAACAAACCTTCTAAAATGTTATCAAATAAAGTGCAGTTTGGTGAACTTCAACCGAAACACAGGACTCTATCTTTAAATGTTCGTCGTCTTCAAGAAGCTTTATCAGTGTATTTGAGTGATGAAGAAACTACAGGATTTATTGATGCCCTGAACACTTATAATGCAGATCGTGATGTTTTTGAATTTGTGAACAATTTAAAGAAAATTTTGAACAGTCCTACCAAAAGACAATTGTTTCCTCTTGTTAAACGAGTGATTCCACGTAACGATTTGGACTCCTTCGAGTTACTTACAAAGGGTGGTAAATCATATGGAACATTGCCCAAAATCAATTTGTACAAATCACACACCCTGGATAATATACACGACCTGCGAGCAGAAGAACAGTTCCGCACTCTGCGAACTGATACTACATTTGGCAGAAGTCACAAACGTCCTGGATTAATAATCCCAAATTCTCGTGTCAATGCTACTCTCAGGAGTCAGCGAACTGAACGTAGTCATCATCGAAAGCAACGTTCAAAATCATCAAGTCGAGATAGTCACTCTCATACTCTTACTAATGGCTACTCCATACCTCCGTCCACAATAGACGATTCGGCTGACACTTTTAAACTTTACTTGCGTCCATCCATGAATCCTAACGAGAGTTTTGGATTTAGTATTCGAGGTGGAACTGAATATGGATTAGGAGTCTATGTGTCGTCTGTTGATCCAGGTGGTGTGGGTGAACTACAAGGACTACAACCAGGTGATTTAATTGTGGAAGCTAATGACATCTCTTTCAAGAAAATTTCTCATATTGAGGCAGCAAAGGTTAGTTACTCTTTATTAATAATCACACTTAAAACTAGTGCTGGACATCGCCAATCATGGCGTAGGGTATCGATAGTGGTTTAAAATTTAACCCTCTATCTTCAATGTTTCAATATTTATTAATTGATAACTGTGATATTTGGTACAATGGTGTAACCTATTTTCGTGCATATAAGGATTCAACACCAAATTTCGTCAAAGTTAAAAAAACGAATTTTTTTTATGTCTTAGATGTTTCCTCGGATATTCTACAAAATGATTAAAATTGGTTTATATCGATTTTCTTTATGAATCCTTCACTTTGACCCATGAGCAACCAACTCGGCAACGGCTGCAGAATGCGTCACCTATTTTCGTGTAAAATGTTTGATCTATAAATAAGTCGAGAAAAACACGTTGTATGGATACAGGGTGGTAAAATTAACTTCTCTTAGTATTTATCTTTAATATCAATTCATTATCAACAAATTAACTTTGGAGTTTTTTAAAGATTGTCGCGCCCGGAATTTAAAAGATATGACAGTTAATAAAAAAAAATTAATAGAAGTAAAAAAAAATTAATAGAAGTAACCGACAAACTTCTATACAAGATTCCCTAATTTAAAAAAATGTAAATAATATCTATAATGTTATATTGTTATTTTGTATATTTCTAATACATAGAATGAAATAAAGGAAATGAATGAAATTGTTTCAGCCGACTCAATTCTCTCATAAGAGACCACCTCCAGTAAGAGAACGTTTTTGAATTTTCCCCTGCGTGGTCTCTTAATACAGTTTCTACTGTAGTGACAATTCCTTCAAAGAACCACGATTTAAAAAAAATAGTGACTGATAAGATACGTAGCGTGATTTATTGCTAAAAGTCACTGAAACAACATAAGAATATGGCCCACTTTGTGTTCCATAGAAATTTTCTGCTGACATTCTAGCAGACATTTTACCTTGCTTGAAACTACTGAATTCATTCTACTAGCTGATATTGTAGAGATAACACATGTTTATCGAAACGAGCAAATGCGGAGGTCTCGCGAAGTCGCACATGTAAATTATTAATCCTTTCCGGAAATGCACGAAAAATAGGTTAACACGAAATTAGGTAACTTGACTGTAATGTAATTGATAAGAGTGGATAATGTCTTCTGTCTTACACCAACAATTTCAGTGAAGTCCTGAGAAAAATTTGTGATTCCATTTGGCGACTTATAAAATATCCCCACTTTTTATAGATTGAGAGATTTCCTCAAATATTGATACACAACCTTGCAATACATTACGATACACACATATCATGACATGTCATATCACCATACATCAATTTCGCGTTTAAAAACAAATTCTTATTGGAGATGTTTTGATAACAGGGCAAGACTTGTAGACAATATTCATCATGATTACTTCAATAAAGAAAATATTTATTCATGTTAATGAAAATACTCTTTAGACTAAAAATCACAGAAGAAAAGCATGTAGTCTCTCTTGGACATCAGCTCTGCTGCTGAGATATTTATTAGCAATTTTAAGATTTTGTAAAAATGATATAGTCCACGAGTTTGCAAGATATTATCTGATTATAAAAAGTAAATATAGTTTTAAGGGACAGGTTTGCCATTTTTGGAGGTTGATTTGGTTTTCAAGGAAGGGAGGGTTTGAGTACGCACGCTCTTTCAGTTTTGAGAAAACAATCGTACAGGCTTGGTTGAAATCAAAGTTAGCTTGCCAGGCAAGGTAATATACGCCCACTGGCAGCTTTGATTTTGAACATAAATATTTGGCAGTACAGTAACAATCACCAGTATGAAATATTCAACCTTCAGTCATACAAAGCTACAAATTGAACGAGTTTTCAAGATCAAGGGCAATAACTCATACTAAATACTTTTCAATTTTTCTGATTTTCAATAGGCTTTATCCTCGGGTGATAACAAACACTCAAGCCAAATTTCGTTAAAATCCGTCAAGAATTGTGCCTTCTTGAGTGTTTACAAGCTAAAAATTGAACACGTTTTCAAGAATAAGGGCAATAACTCATACTCAATATTTTTAGATTCTTCTGATTTTCAATAGGGTTCATCCATGGGTGATAACCAACACTCATGCCAAGTTTCGTCAATATCCGTCAAGAATTTTGCCTTCTAGAGTGTTTACGAACTAAAAAAAGAACGCGTTTTCAAGAAAAAGGGCAATAACTAATACTAAATATTTTTCAATTTTTCTGATTTTCAATAGGGTTTATCCTTGGGTGATTAGAAAAATTCGAATGATTTTCTATTCTGATTTCTAAAATAGGGGCTATTTTGGCGCTATTCTCGAGCTATTTTCTATTTTAAGTGCTAGACTCAGATCCTGCACCTTCATGGGCACCTTCATGATTATGTGACAGGTCATTAAGTCAAATGGTGTCAATTTCACACCTGTGTAGGTTAATTTACAAACAGTCTATTCCCATTCATGTTTACAGTCGGAAACGTTTACAAACAGTCTATTCCCATTCATGTTTACAGTCGGAAACATTTACAAACAGTCTATTCCCATTCATGTTTACAGTCGGAAACGTTTACAAACAGTCTATTCCCATTCATGTTTACAGTCGGAAACGTTTACAAACAGTCTATTCCCATTCATGTTTACAATCGGAAACGTTTACAAACAGCCTATTCCCATTCATGTTTACAGTCGGAAACGTTTACAAACAGTCTATTCCCATTCATGTTTACAGTCGGAAACGTTTACAAACAGTCTATTCCCATTCATGTTTACAGTCGGAAACATTTACAAACAGTCTATTCCCATTCATGTTTACAGTCGGAAACGTTTACAAACAGTCTATTCCCATTCATGTTTACAGTCGGAAACATTTACAAACAGTCTATTCCCATTCATGTTTACAGTCGGAAACATTTACAAACAGTCTATTCCCATTCATGTTTACAGTCGGAAACGTTTACAAACAGTCTATTCCCATTCATGTTTACAGTCGGAAACATTTACAAACAGTCTATTCCCATTCATGTTTACAGTCGGAAACATTTACAAACAGTCTATTCCCATTCATGTTTACAGTCGGAAACATTTACAAACAGTCTATTCCCATTCATGTTTACAGTCGAAAACGTTTACAAACAGTCTATTCCCATTCATGTTTACAGTCGGAAACGTTTACAAACAGTCTATTCCCATTCATGTTAACAGTCGGAAACATTAACAAACAGTCTATTCCCATTCATGTTTACGGTCGGAAACGTTTACAAACAGTCTATTCCCATTCATGTTTACAGTCGGAAACATTTACAAACAGTCTATTCCCATTCATGTTTACAGTCGGAAACGTTTACAAACAGTCTATTCCCATTCATGTTTACAGTTGGAAACGTTTACAAACAGTCTATTCCCATTCATGTTTACAGTCCGAAACATTAACATACAGTCTATTCCGATTCATGTTTTACGAAATATAAATATGGACGGCGTAAAATAGCTCTGAAGCTGACAGATCTGTGGCGAATACGTCTAGTTTTTCATTCTTCCTGTGCTAGTCAGTATGTTTGCTGGGTAATCAAGTCTCAATATAGAATAATATTGATCTTTATAATTATTAAAAAGTCTGTTCAACTAGTACAGTACCTATTGTACTTTATTATTTTAGTCCTTACTAAGATTGCCCATGTCTATTACCCATGGTACCACTAACTTATCTTTGTCTATGTCTCTTTCTGTCTCTTATCACTCTCTTTAATCTATTACCACAATCTCCATTATTTTCATTAGTAAAATAAAATGAATAGTTTTACGTTTTCTGCACCACATGGGCTAATGAAGACAGAATAGTAAAATAAAGAAGGACTTTGATTTAAATGTATTAACTTATATACCTTATGAAATATATTTGTGTATATATGTATTTTACTCAGCGAGGCAGATTCGAATAAGCATTTTGCATTTTTCTGTATCACATATATATATTTTGTACATTGTACCACTAAATCCACAATAAGAAATATTGTTTAAAGAAAAAAAAAATACCTTCTGTGACATGTTTCTCTATCTATTTAACATATCCTAGACATTGTATTATTGTTTACAAATCATTGATAATTTCTACCACAAACCAATTAAATCATTGATAATTTCTACCACAAACTAATTAAATCATTGATAATTTCTACCACAAACCAATTAAATTATTGATAATTTCTACCACAAACCAATTAAATCATTGATAATTTCTACCACAAACCAATTAAATCATTGATAATTTCTACCACAAACCAATTAAATCATTGATAATTTCTACCACAAACTAATTAAATCATTGATAATTTCTACCACAAACCAATTAAATCATTGATAATTTCTACCACAAACCAAATAAATCATTGATAATTTCTACCGCAAACCAATTAAATCATTGATAATTTCTAGCACAAACAAATTAAATCATTGATAATTTCTACCACAAACCAATTAAATCATTGATAATTTCTAGCACAAACAAATTAAATAATTGATAATTTCTACCACAAACAAATTAAATCATTGATAATTTCTACCACAAACAAATTAAATCATTAATAATTTCTACCACAAACAAATTTATCGACCAATTTGAAATGAGCAGCAAATACATGGCATCATGCATGTCGGTCTGTCAGTCCGTCCTTAATTGCTCATAAAAACTTTCAAAAGCACAATTCTTTGTGTAAATGTTCAAAAATCACTGAAGGATTAACGAACCTAATCAAAATTAAAAACATAGTAAAATAGTAATGATAATGATTATTTATCACATAAGGATGATGCCTATTGAAAATAAAGAAAATTCAAAAATTTTGATACTGGTTATGGCCCTTGCTCTATGGAACGAGTTTGATTTTTAGCTTGTAAACAATGCATTTTTTCACTGCTCCTACGCTGTCAGCGACATAACCTCTAACTCAAGGAAATCATTTAACATTCAATGAAGTCATTACATAAACACTGTGTACTTAGCCAATATGGATGAGTGGTGGGCTGTACACTGAAAGACTGAAAGAGAATTTCCTTGATTGAAAAGAACACATGAACCAATATTAAGATTCCTAGAAAATAGAATCCCCAGACTTTACTAACATATATTCTGTGTTATACACAGGTTTATTGCTTGGGACCGATTTTTTTGCGAGTTGTGAGTGTGCAAAAAATTTCTCAGCTAGTTTGTTGCATGGTGGTACAAAGAAGGCTCAGATAGCGACATGGGTGCCATTTTGGCCATACATTTGTTAACATGTAGAAACCATATTTTGAAAGTTCACTTCTGATTACAGACACTTTCCTATTTGGCCCTCGTAGTTCTTTTGATAAAGAAAATTGATGTTGTGATTGGATTATGACATCACTATTACTAAAATTGTTCATAGAAAATAATTCCCTGAGACATTTTTTATCTTACTGGGCATTGGATTGTCACTCTGAAAGTAAATATGGATAGCTGAAATGATTTCCATATCCCTTTAAATTTTCCCATGTTCATTATAGATTATCAAGGCAGCTAGAAAGTTAGAGCTAACAATATGTAGAGTAGGAAAAATACCAGGAACCCATATAGTACATCAGACCTATAAATGGATTGACCCTAAAGGTCGTGCTGTATCCCCACCCCCAGAACTAGAACAGCTTCACCCTGAGATTTCCACAGAACACAGACACAGATCTAGTTTAACATTACTTAAAGGTAGTGATGAAAGAAAGGTAAGAGACAATCTTAATATTCTATGTGTGCAAAATGCTGTAAAAAGTAAAATGGTGTCTTAAATGGTGAAACAGAAATATTGAATATGGCTGCCAGATGCTATGCATAGCTAGAACATTACTACAATCACTCTTCTTGCTATCAAAATATAGTCACCCAAATACTACAACTACCCTAGAAATTAACCCAAACACACATACCTGAAGAAAAGTTGTTCCAAAGATGGTAGAACTTGGTAGAAAAATTGAGGCTACCCTGAAGACAGTTCAGCCATTTTCCCGTGACACCAGTTTAAGTTAAGAGATTAGAGATGACAACTGTTAATGTTAATGTTAATATTTAGTAATGATGTGCTGTTTAAAACATACAGATGCATTATAAAACCAGACAACAATTAAATAAAATACCAAGTTTGGTTAAAATTGCGCAGTATCACAAAATAATACTAGAACCGTTATAACGGTACCGAAGCAGTGCGCATCCAACCTGATACATCGATAAAACGTTGCATTTTAAAGTCACAATGGGATTTCTTACCGGAAAGAAAAGCATGTAAACGTTCAATAGTAGAAAAAAATCGTTTAAACCGTTTACCGTTCGGTAGTGAAAAGACGCATGAATTTGATACCATTCGGTACTAAAAGGTGTTAACATTCGGTAGTAAAAAGTCGAATTTTCAAATAGCTGTAAAGTTAAAAGTTCAATTCGCACAACAAAAATGAAAATATTTTTGGAAAGGTACAATAATTTGTGTTTCGGCCAAGAGGTCAACAGAGGTCAAATAAAAGAGAATATAAGCCTTAAAAGTGTTGAAAATTGCTGTTTTGGGACGTTTGTAAAAGCGAAAATATATGTCGGACATCAAAGATAAAAGTATGAATGGACATCGTAGATCAATAACCTTGGACTTTCTAAAGACCAAGATTATGCATGTAAATGGTCAAAATATCAAAATTTTATAAATTGTAAATCCTATTCCCTTTTTTAAAGTAAAAGGCCTAAACAAAATGTAACTCTATCAGATATTGTCCCAAATAGTGCTTTAATTTTTTGTAAAATTTCGATGGTGAAAAATGCAAACTTTTTGAGTTATAACAATTTGAATTATTTATGGTAAAGGTAAAAGTAACCCAAATTTGCCACGCCCACTGCAAAAATTTTGTGTTGTCTGTAATAATGTGTACAATGTCAAATAATGTTCAAAATTTCAAGTGTTTACAATCATTAGATCATGAGATATTCGTAGTTAAAAGTTTTTTTAAGGCAACAATGACTGTCGGTGGATTATAGAAACCGTTAAAATTACGCAAAGTTACTATAGAAGTCAATACAAAATTTTCAAATTCAATTTTAATCAAAATACCAAGTGTTATATATCATTTGAAAGAATAGATTGCGTGTAATAAGGACAAAAGATAAATTTTCGCTTATGTAAATTAGGTCACGTAGACCTTTTTTTAAAGTTAAAAATCGCGATTTTCAATTGGCTGTAGAACCGGAAGTTAACGGAGCACGACAAAAGTGAAAATATTATCGGATATATCTCGTAATGGGAACAACCTTTCTTCAGGTCAAAAGGTCAACAAAGGTTAAATAAAAGTAATATGAGCCTATGAAGTTTCGAAAATTGCTGTTTTCGGACGTCTGTAAAACCGGAAGTATATGTTGCACATCAAAAATAAAAGTAAAAATGGTCATCTTAGATCAATGACCTTTGACCATGCAAAGGTCAAGGTCATTTACGTTAAAGTTCAAAAATGAAAATTTTTAAAATTGTTAAACCTGTTCCCTTTTTTAAAGTAAAGAACGCAAACAACTGTAATCTTATCACAAATTGTCCTAAGCAGTGATCTACTTTCATGCAAAATTTCTAGGATGACAATTGCAAAGTTTGCGAGTTATGACAATTGCAAATATTTCAGGTAAAGGTAAATGCCCACCGGATGTGCCACGCCCACTCCAAATATTTTAATTTGTCTGTGATGATGTCTACATTGTTAAATAATGTTAAAAATTTCAAGTCTTTACAATCATTAGATTATGAGATATTCGTAGTTAAACTTTTTTTAGGGCAACGGTGACTGTCGGTAAATTATAGACACCCCGATTTTACGCACAGTTACTATAGAAGTCACTTCAATAGAAGTGTGATATATCGCCAAAAAGGAGAGATCATGCACTCTAAGAATATATAAGAAATTTTGTTATATGTTAATTAGATCACGTGACAGAGCTCTTCAAAGTTAAAAATCGCGATTTTCAAATTGCTGTAGAACCGGAAGTTAACAATGCACAACAAAAGTGAAGATATTATCGGATATATCTCGTAAGGGGCAACAACTTTTGTTCAGGTCAAAAGGTCAACAAATGTCAAATAAAAGTAATATGAGCCTTTGAAGTTTCGAAAATTGCTGTTTTGGACGTCTGCAAAACCGGAAGTATATATCGGACATCAAAGATCAAAGTAAGAATGGTCATCCTTAGTCAATGACCTTTGACCATGCAAAGGTCAAGGTCATTCATGTTAAAGATCAAAAATGAAAATTTATAAAATTGTTAAACCTATTCCCTTTTTTAAAGTAAAGAGTGCAAACAACTGTAATCTTATCACAAATTGTCCTAAGCAGTGATCTATTTTCATGCAAAATTTCTAGGGTGACAATTAAAAACTATGAGACTTATAACAATTGCAAATATTTCAGGTAAAGGTAAATGCACACCGGATGTGCCACGCCCACTTCCAAAATTTTAATTTGTCTGTGATGATGTGTACATTGTTAAATAATGTTCAAAATTTCAAGTCTTTACAATCATTAGATCATGAGATATTCGTAGTTAACCTTTTTTTTAAGGCAACGGTGACTGTCGGTAAATTATAGACACCGTGATTTTACGCACAGTTGCTATAGAAGTCATTACAAAATTTTCGATTTTTAAAACGCGCAATTTTGATCAAAATATCAAGTGTGATATATCACCGAAAAGGAGATTTTATGCACTCAAAGAATATATAAGAATTTTTGTCGTATGTTAATTAGGTCACGTGACAGAGCTGTTCAAAGTTAAAAATCGTGATTTTCCAATGGCTGTAGAACCGGAAGTTAACGATGCACAACAAAAGTGAGGATATCATCGGATATATCTCGTCAGGGGCAACAACTTTTGTTCAGGTCACAAGGTCACCAAAGGTCAAAGTCACTAGATATGAGCCTTAATATTTTTGACAATTACTGAAAACATAAAACCGGAAATATAAAAAATACGAATCCAAAATTCAAATCGGCTTCCTAAGTTTTGTTAGCAATCAATTGCAGATTCTTTAGACACCAAAATCACACAAATCGGATTTACCCCTGAAGCTTAATATCGATTTTTACAAAAATTGGTCACATCAAGATGGCGTCTAACACGTTACTTCCGGTTCAAATTTTTTCATTCCAAAATTGTTATAGGAACAATTTTAACTAATTTCAAAAAGAATTTTTCAAATACCTACAAAATTCAGGAAGTTGAAATTTCAAGTTTAGAGGCGAATGACGTCAAAACCGGAAGTGATATCGAAATTTTGAAAATAGATTTTTGTCAGGAATCAAAATGCTTATCTAGTATTAAATTTTTAGACCGATTGAAATAAAATTGTAGAAGTTGAAAAAAACGCTAAAATTAAAACAAAAAAAGTCAGCGACAAAAGTCAAAATCTGAAATTTTATAAAGTGCTATCTTTTAGTCATTGGTTTAAAGTAATGAACAAAACAAAAGTTACTGTCAAAATAGATGCAGAATTAGAGAAGTAATTCGAAATACGTAATGAATGGTTAACGTCATACGTCATTTCCGGTTGGAAGAAAATGCGTCATTTTACATTTAAACAGTAGCGACACGCAAAGTATAAGAAATAATAGTGTCAGACAATGTGTGACATGTGCAGTTTTGGCTGGGGAGCGTGGCCAGAAGTATACAAAAAAAAAAAAAAAAAAAACTAGAACCGTTATAACGGTACCGAAGCAGTGCGCATTCAACCTGATACATCGATAAAACGTTGCATTTTAAAGTCACAATGGGATTTCTTACCTGAAAGAAAAGCATGTAAACGTTCAATTGTAGGAAAAGTCGTTTAAACCGTTTACCGTTCGGTAGTGAAAAGACGCATGAATTTGATACCATTCGGTACTAAAAGGTGATAACATTCGGTAGTAAAAAGTCGAATTTTCAAATAGCTGTAAAGTTAAAAGTTCAATTCGCACAACAAAAATGAAAATATTTTTGGAAAGGTACAATAATTTGTGTTTCGGCCAAGAGGTCAACAGAGGTCAAATAAAAGAGAATATAAGCCTTAAAAGTGTTGAAAATTGCTGTTTTGGGACGTTTGTAAAAGTGAAAATGTATGTCAGACATCAAAGATAAAAGTATGAATGGACATCGTAGATCAATAACCTTTGACCCTCTAAAGACCAAGATTATGCATGTAAATGGTCAAAATATCAAAATCTTATAAATTGTAAATCCTATTCCCTTTTTTAAAGTAAAAGGCCTAAACAAAATGTAACTCTATCAGATATTGTCCCAAATAGTGCTTTAATTTTTTGTAAAATTTCGATGGTGAAAAATGCAAACTTTTCGAGTTATAACAATTTGAATTATTTATGGTAAAGGTAAAAGTAACCCAAATTTGCCACGCCCACTGCAAAAATTTTGTGTTGTCTGTAATAATGTGTACAATGTCAAATAATGTTCAAAATTTCAAGTGTTTACAATCATTAGATCATGAGATATTCGTAGTTAAAAGTTTTTTTAAGGCAACAATGACTGTCGGTGGATTATAGAAACCGTTAAAATTACGCAAAGTTACTATAGAAGTCAATACAAAATTTTCAAATTCAATTTTAATCAAAATACCAAGTGTTATATATCATTTGAAAGAATAGATTGCGTGTAATAAGGACAAAAGATAAATTTTCGCTTATGTAAATTAGGTCACGTGATAGACCTTTTTTTAAGTTAAATATCGCGATTTTCAATTGGCTGTAGAACCGGAAGTTAACGGAGCACGACAAAAGTGAAGATATTATCGGATATATCTCGTAAGGGGCAAAAACTTTTGTTCAGGTCAAAAGGTCAACAAATGTCAAATAAAAGTAATATGAGCCTTTAAAGTTTCGAAAATTGCTGTTTTCGGACGTCTGCAAAACCGGAAGTATATATCGGACATCAAAGATCAAAGTAAGAATGGTCATCCTTAGTCAATGACCTTTGACCATGCAAAGGTCAAGGTCATTCATGTTAAAGATCAAAAATGAAAATTTATAAAATTGTTAAACCTATTCCTTTTTTTAAAGTAAAAAATGCAAACAACTGTAATCTTATCACAAATTGTCCTAAGCAGTGATCTATTTTCATGCAAAATTTCTAGGGTGACAATTGAAAACTATGAGACTTATAACAATTGCAAATATTTCAGGTAAAGGTAAATGCACACCGGATGTGCCACGCCCACTTCAAAAATTTTAATTTGTGTGTGATGATGTGTACATTGTTAAATAATGTTCAAAATTTCAAGTCTTTACAATCATTACATCATGCGATATTCATAGTTAAACTTTTTTTTAGGGCAACGGTGACTGTCGGTAAATTATAGACACCGTGATTTTACGCACAGTTACTATAGAAGTCAGTACAAAATTTTCGATTTTTAAAACGCGCAATTTTGATCAAAATATCAAGTGTGATATATCACCAAAAAGGAGATTTTATGCACTCAAAGAATATATAAGAATTTTTGTCGTATGTTAATTAGGTCACGTGACAGAGCTGTTCAAAGTTAAAAATCGTGATTTTCCAATGGCTGTAGAACCGGAAGTTAACGATGCACAACAAAAGTGAGGATATCATCGGATATATCTCGTATGGGGCAACAACTTTTGTTCAGGTCACAAGGTCACCAAAGGTCAAAGTCACTAGATATGAGCCTTAATATTTTTGACAATTACTGAAAACTTAAAACCGGAAATAAAAAAAATACAAATCCAAAATTCAAAAATCGGCTTCCTAAGTTTTGTTAGCAATCGCTTGCAGATTCTTTAGACACCAAAATCACACAAATCAGATTTACCCCTGAAGCTTAATATCGATTTTTACAAAAATTGGTCACATCAAGATGGCGTCTAACACGTTACTTCCGGTTCAAATTTTTTCATTTCAAAATTGTTATAGGGACAATTTTAACTAATTTCAAAAAGAATTTTTCAAATACCTACAAAATTCCGGAAGTTGAAATTTCAAGTTTAGAGGTGAATGACGTCAAAACCGGAAGTGATATCGAAATTTTGAAAATAGATTTTTGTCAGGAATCAAAATGCTTATCTACTATTAAATTTTTAGACCGATTGAAATAAAATTGTAGAAGTTGAAGTTGAAGTTTTCAAGAACATGGGCAATAACTCATTAAATATATTTCGAATTTTCAATGGGGTTCATACGTGATGATAACTCACAAGTTTTGTCAAAATACATTCAGACTTGAGCCTTCTAGAGTGCTTACCTGCTAAAAATTGAACGCATTTTCAATAATTACTTATATTAAATATATTTTGATTTTTCTGATTTTCATTAGGGTTCATCCCTGGTTGATTATATAAATAGAGAATGCCATGTAGTGTAAACCTAATTCCATGTTGAAAATAAAGTCGATTTTCAAACTAATATAGAATTTTTTAAAAAACTTATGCTTTCAAAAATTTTGATATCTGATTGTTGAGAAGTAATAGTGATTCAGACTATAATTAAATAATTAATAATTAACAATATTAACCTGGTATATCATATATTATTAATTACATTAACTTCATAGTTTTTAATTAACAACAACTTTCTTACTTACCTTGGTAAATTAGGTCAAAGTGTTATAGGAAATCCAATTTACATACATGACAATAGTATTAGTCAACAATAGGCAGTCATAAGATGGTCACAGACAAATTAGCTCAGCAATAAACTTTATGGCATAATTAGGTCAAGGTATAATTAGGTCAAATCTGTTTAACACACCTGGGTAGAATTAGGTTAGAGTGTTACAAGAAATCCACCTTACACACCTTGATAGAATAAGGTTAGATTGTTACATGAAATCCACCTTACACACCTTGATAGAGTAAGGTTAGATTGTTACAAGAAATCCACCTTACACACCTTGATAGAATAAGGTTAGAGTGTTACAAGAAATCCACCTTACACACCTTGATAGAATAAGGTTAGAGTGTTACAAGAAATCCACCTTACACACCTTGTTAGAGTATGGTTAGAGTGTTACAAGAAATCCACCTTACACACCTTGATAGAATAAGGTTAGAGTGTTACAAGAAATCCACCTTATACACCTTAATAGAATAAGGTTAGACTGTTACAAGAAATCCACCTTACACACCTTGATAGAATAAGGTTAGAGTGTTACAAGAAATCCACCTTACACACCTTGATAGAATAAGGTTAGAGTGTTACAAGAAATCCACCTTACACACCTTGATAGAATAAGGTTAGAGTGTTACAAGAAATCCGCCTTACACACTTTGATAGAATAAGGTTAGAGTGTTACAAGAAATCCACCTTACATACCTTGATAGAATAAGGTTAGAGTGTTACAAGAAATCCACCTTATACACCTTAATAGAATAAGGTTAGAGTGTTACAAGAAATCCACCTTACACACCTTGATAAAATAAGGTTAGATTGTTACAAGAAATCCACCTTACACACCTTGATAGAATAAGGTTAGATTGTTACAAGAAATCCACCTTACACACCTTGATAGAATAAGGTTAGAGTGTTACAAGAAATCCACCTTACACACTTTGATAGAGTAAGGTTAGAGTGTTGCTGCAAATCCATTGTACACACTGTGATAGAATTACAGTGATAGTGTTACAAGAAAGCAAACTTACACACCTTGATAGAATTAGGTTAGAGTGCTACTAGAAATTAACGTAAACACCTTGATAGAATTAGGTAAGAGTGTTACTGGAAATTCAACTTACACACCGTGATAGAATCAGGGTAGAGTGTTACAAGATTCTGACTTACACACTTTGATAGGTTAGGGTGTTACAGGAAATCCACCTTACACACCTTGATTTGAACTGGACAATAGCTGTGACCTTCCTTTTTTAAAACATAAGACCAAGGTTTATTGTTTCTCTTTTGTTTTGGGGAAGGTTATGGTTAGAGATGATGAAGAATGTTTGAAATTTCAGGTGAACGTTGTGGTACCTAGAAGTAAAAATTTAGGTCTGATGGTAAGAGGAGGTCGAGAGTTTGGTCTAGGTATTTATATCTCTGGTGTGGATCCATTCTCTGTTGCAGAAAATGCGGGAATAAAAGTAAGACCTTTATTTATTCTATTATTCTGTTATAAAAGATGATGCTGCTGAACTGTTTGCAACGTAGTCGGTGTTGCGGCTATAGGGTATGCCCAGTGAAAACTCCTTGATATTCAGAAATTTATTTGGTGCTCGTTAGAACATTAAAAACTAAACAATACAGAGATTCAAAAGTTTGTTAAGAAGGGGGCACTTTCAGAATAGTAGGAGGCTGGTCATGTTAAAAGTTTGTTGGCAAAAGATAAGAGTCAAGGGTTTGGGGAACTCCCCTAAGAAAATTTTGAAATTGAAACATCAGGTATCCTGGCATTTGAGAGTATTGTACTGAAATTGACAATCTTCAGACTTTGTGACTTGATTGTAATCCAAATGTGGGCCAAATTATAAAAATAAAAGAATAAGGAGCCTTCACATGTAATTTGATACTGTATTACCCCTTGATACATTTGAATGAATCTGGAAATATCTGTCACATAGTAATATACTACCAGTCCAGACGCAAAAAACTCAACAAGGTGGCATAAGGTGAACACCATAATTTTGAGAGGCAATACCGCATATTCAACAACATTTCTTCAACAAAGGCTTTTACTTTACTGTTATATTTCATTTGCATTTTTTAATCAATTCAAAACCAAAGTTAAAAATAATACTTGTTTGTATCTTCTCGTGACATTGAGTTTAAATGTTCAAGGTCATATGCGTATGAATCTCGATAGAGAGAGACAAAACTAAACAATGAATATAGGAAGCTCAGGGTTGTAATTTATACAGTTAGCCCGGCTTTTTTTTCTTCAACAACCCCTCTAAATTAAAAGTTTTTTTTATCTTTCTAAAGAAAGCCAAGGCTAGTAAAAAAAAAAGCCAGAACGAAAGTTTACAGACTGTCATAAAATTATAAAAGGATGTTATGAAACGAAGATACAGATTTAAGGTAGCAACGATATCAGTTTTTTGATATAATGATTAATCGCGATACCAAAAATGAAATAATCGCGATAAATGGCAATATCATGATACTAGAAATCACACATAATATGATATCGCGATATTGCAATTTATTTCGATAATAAGTAAATCCAGTAGGCCTATAGATCAGTGACAAAAATAGATCATAAATTTTTTTTTCTACTTTCCGGTAAGAAGGTGTGTTCGATGCAGGAGTCGGACGTACTGAGTTTATGTCGTATATGAATACCTAGTACTTCATTAAAACCATATAAAATTGATTCATTGTGATCGACATAACTGTGAACGTGAAACTTAGATGAAAAACGGAATAAATTCAAACATTTGACTTGATAAATTAAGTTGAAAAAAAATTAAAATATGAAAGGATGCATTCGATTATATATTTGTTGTGTACGTATCGACGTATGTATTTTTGCCCCGGCACAGCTTATAAACATCAATATGCATGAATGCCATGATAAATAAAATCTTCGGGACTAAAATCAATACAAATAAACTCATGGAAAAAAAATCAAAATATTTGCTGCTTCTATTAACTTTTAAATAATTTCATTGAGACTGGGGATACTGGCATTAGTTTGATGCTAATAAATTATCACGGCGGGAAGTAACAACCAATGAAAAGTGAGCATTATTTGTGGTCTATATTTAGTAACATTTTAATCAACATAACCCTGTCCCCCACCCCCCCCCCCCCCCCATAAGATATTGATGACAAATCATTACCGTAATCTCTGAAGTATTTTCGTTCCGATATTGTTTTTTATCGCGATAATTTGGCGATATACTGGGGATGCGATATTTTGACACTTTGACGATATGATACGATATTATTTTTAATAATCGTGATATATCGTCATCCCCGGGATATCGCTGCTACCTTATACAGATTACATCAAATTCAGACATCAAGTCTAGCATGATTATCTAGTAATAGTAGAATGACCTATGCAAAGACCACAAAGACTATTTAATAATCCACTGTACAGACTTCAAGATTTCTTTTTAATCAACAAAAAGTAACCGGCGAAAATAGGACAAAATGAGGATTTTAATCTAGCTGTAGCTGCCGGCTACTATTGAACACACTGACAATACTAGAGAAAGGGTTTCTTTAATGATACAAATATTACTTATTGTAAATAAAATATGAAAAATAGTTTGCTAGTCAAGGTAATACATGCCCACTGGCAGATATGATTTAAAAGGGACGTGTACCATATGTTGGATTGATTTTAGTCTTGACTATATGTAAATAGTCTACAGAAGTACTAGAAATGTACGAAAATGGCATAATTTCTTTAAAAATACTTCAAACTAGGAATTTTACTCTCTATTCCTATATATGTCTTTTCTATATATCACACAGTATCTTATCTTGCTGTGGTATTTTAACATTCAAAAGTGCATAATTCTGGACACACATGGATTTGAAGGCTGAAATTTCGACTGTGAACTGCAAACACTCTTACTGATTGGATTAGCTTAAAAATTCCCGTTTCCGCTTATGATTGGGTCAAAAAAATGGCGCACCTGTCCCTTTAAATAAAAATATTTGGCAGTACAGTAACAATCTCCAGTATGAAATATTCAACCTTCAGTCATACACTTCTTTTTAACTTTTTGGGGCGATACTGAATAATATTACCATGTTATCAAAATTCAGCATGAATCAAGCTTTTAAGTTTATACAAGCTAAAAATTGAATGCATTTTCAAGATTGGGCTCAATTTAAAATAGTTCTCAGGCCACATTTAAAAGAATGTCTGTTTCCAGTCCCCATCCCCTGGGTCTTTGTAAACAAAGCAGACAGGCAGATACTTTTTTTTCCAACTGGATGTCATGGATGTGTAACAGGTTTATTTGAAGATACAAGGAAACTCTGGGTCGGGGTTCTATAAATTTTATTATTATAAATCTAAACAATAACTCTGAAAAATACATAAATAATTCTTATAAATACAAATAATGAAAGAAATTTACAACACAAATAAATAATACAAATTCACATCTGCCATTTATAATGCATATTTAGAAATATATAACTAAAGAAAATCTATAAACAATCTTACCCTATGAAATAGGAGTTATTATAAACTTGTATAAAATTAGGTGTAGGCTAAATAACCATGTAGCCTAAGATTTCTAAAAGAAAACAAAGATGGCTGTCGTAACTAATGAAAACAACTTTAAACTTTATGAAAATAAGTTATTACAAAATTACATTTCTAAAGGAGAATTGCATTGAATAAAATAGATTTGTCCAGTCTGTAGAATAAAGTAAAAATAAAAGAATAATAACCTACCAAGAAAGATGACATCAAACATACAAACACACAATATTAGGTGAAATGACAGAAGTGAAGAAAGAAAGAGAGAGAAAGTCTTATATAGGAGAGTGATTAGAATTTAAACTGAGTAAAAATAAAGAAAAGTGCTCACTCTGCTTGTAAACAACTTAAAGCTACCGTGGATAAACTAGGGAAGAAAAAGAAACTTAAAGCTATACTTCAGAAATAAATAACAGAAACATGATAAATTTTATATAATTAAATACGACTACCACAGATGGTTTAAATTTTGTCCATTGGAGACCACTTATCAGTTGTTTGTGCTCAATTTGAATGCTCAAAAGTCACACAGTTAGTTTATCTATGTTGTGACCAACATCTGTAGTTAAAGCGTCAATGTCTTCAATGTGCACCTCTCTGCAAAGCTGTTTAACCATGATGGGAAACACTTTTGACATTTCCTTGTAATTAATTCGATCTTATCACCCATCTTACTTACCTAAACTAGAGATAATCCAGTAAAATTAAACCACAAATACAAGTAAAAACAGTATCCGAGGAAATATCCGCAACACAGAAAACTTCTGATTGTAAAGAGAAGGTCTTTACAATGCAGAAACCAAATAAAATATGATAGTAAAATGCCTACAGAAAGCCAGAAATCAAGGGGAGCCTGGGTAAACAAAACAGAAACCATGGTAGAGACCAATGGAGAGAGAGAAAGAGTGAGTTAGTAAAGCAATAACATCACTCAGATGAATAAGAGAGTAGGAAAGAAAGATAGAGTGAGTGAGTGAAGAAAGAGTCTCACTCAGATGAATGAAATAAGAGAGAAAGAAGATATGTGAACTGTGCTACAGTGTTTGTTAGTAAAACATTATCACTAATTAACCTGGATAAAATTAAACAATAAAATTTACACTTAAAATATAGCTCCATTACATATACCCCCCCCCCCCCCTCCCCTCCCCCTCGCTAATTCTGCTCGTCTTTGAAATCTAGGAACTGATGATTGCTGTGCTAGAACATACTCACCACGTTGTATCCACTGTCGTGCTCGTGTCGGTCGCGGTTGGTTGTCTTCTTCCTGTATGTCATCTGATTCACACTCAACCTCATCAAGTACTGGTTCTGATAACGCTGGTGGTGAAACTTCTGCTGGTGGGTCTGTTGGTAACTTAGCTGCTGGTCTTATGGGTGATTTCAAAGATACATCTGGTGGTTTCATCCACAGCATCCACTGGCACTTCTCCATCTTCTGACTCAGCTTCTTGTTCAGATGACTCTGGCCTTACCTGTACATCACTCTGAGCTGGCTGTACCTCAGGAACAAGAAAAACTTCGTCATCCTCTAAATCTTCAGCAACGTCTGTGGGGCTAGCTAAAGGTAAGAAATTTACCTGATCCACAATTATTACTGAATCGTCTTCGTCAGTTGAATCACTTGTCACGTCAGTCACATTACTTACCACTCTGTATCTTACCTTTAGTTTACCTGGTTGTCTAGGTGGTAATTCAGGAACTGTTACAATAGGAAGTAAGTGGTTTCTGTTTAACATACGTTTCTTACCAGTACCATCAGTAGGTGTGACTTCATATACTGGTATATCATCATTTTCTAGTAACTCTGTATGGTTTTTCCTCCCACTTGTCCGCGATTTGTGCCTTCCATCAAACGCTAACTTCTTAACAAGGACTAAGTCTTCTGGCTCTAATATGTTACTTCGAGACCGTAAG